ATAAAAAGAATATTATTTCAAAATCTAGTTATATCGACCCCATCGTAAAAATTACATAAACTTGTAAATCGAAAAGATTCTTTGCTGGGGCAAGATGATATTTCTTAGTTGCCATGACTAGATCTAAACATGTTTAAAAATATACACAGAGTGACATACAATTTATATACTGCATTGACAAAATATAGATTTTTTTTCTATTTTCTTTTTTCTCATTTTCAGGTATATGTTTGGAAAAAGAATGTCATCGCAGATTTTGTGCTAAGAAAAGGGTGGCAGTACAAGCCCGAGGCAATGGCTTTAGCTATACAGATGGTTAGAAGTGGCCAAATGAGTAGGAAAGGAGCGGCAAAGGCTTACGGCATTACCTAAGACAACGCTATTGGACAAACTTTCTGGTCGAGTACCTGAGTCTACTTCTCTTGGACGGAAAACTGTACTCACGCCGGCAGAGGAAAACGTACTTGTAGCTTACGCTAATTTGATGTGTGATATTGGTTACCCGCTTACAAAGAAGGAGTTTGTTTATGAAGTCCAGCATATTTTAAACCTCGACGGACGTGAAACACCTTTCCGTGATAATCTACCGGGTAAGGACTGGTTTGTTGGCTTTCAAAGGCGTCATCCTGAGATGGCATTTAGAAAGCCTATGTCTCTCGGGCATGAGCGCGCGGCAGTTACAATAGAAAAAGTAAATTAATTGGTTTATACTGGTGTATATATGTATTTACAAAAGGAGTTTTCCTGACACTTATGATTGCATTATTAAAAAGACCCGCGCCGTCTTTATAATGCTGATGAAAGCGGTTTCCCGCTGTCAGTAAAACCTGGCAAAGTTTTGGCTCCGTCTGGTGCAAAAACATGTATATAATGTTGTAGCTAGCACTAAAATGCAAATTACTGTTATGGCTGGCTTCAATGGCTTTGGGGAATACCTGCCACCAATGATTCTTTTTCCTGGGGAAAGACTCCGTGATGTTGGTTTAGCAGTTTCCCGGAAGCCATTTATACGACAACCCCTAATGGTTGGATGACTTCGGACACTTTTGTTGAGTTTTCTAAAAGTCCTTGACCAGTCCTTAATTAAAACAAATATTGCACGTCCTGTACTCCTCTTTGTGACGGACATTCCACCCAACATGACACTAGAGGCTGCTCAATTTTGTAAAGATCATCAAATTATATTTGTATTGTCTTTTGCCAAATTGCTACACATCTTCATGCAGGCAGCCGATGTAGGACTCTTCTCACCCTTTGAAGTCCGCCTGGCAAGCGGGGCTGTGAAAACCTGGCAAATGTCAAACATTGGCCAGGCGGTCACAAAGAAAGACTTTCCAGGCATATTTAAGCAAGCTTGGAGTAAGGTAGTACTACCTTCCAAAAGCTGCAAATGGCTTTCGTAGATCAGGTTTGTTCCCCTTTAGTCCACGGTATAGACAAGACAAAACTTGGTCCTGCTAGATTAGTTTCCAACACTCAAACAGTAACTCAAAAACACTGTTACTGATTCTGAATCAAACTCTGTTGAAGCTGGCAAATTTCAAGCCATGTGTCCGATGTGATTTTGTCAATGTAGTAGGCTCTTTATTCAAGCACGGTTCCCCTTTCTACTGTCAACAATAATATTTCAAATTACGTCTAGTAACAAAAAACGTATGTAAAACCGACGTAAATTCCCGATTTGTTGACACTGCACAACAAACTTTGCCTGTAAGCACTCATTCAGTAGTCTTTTCCTTTGCCAGTTCTATTTCTGCTATAATACAATCAAAAACACCCTTGTGTTCCCCTGAGGTTAAGTACTTCAGATGCTGTATCATCCAGTCGTTTGGCCTTTACTGCCTTATTTCCCCAAACCTTCTTCATTCCCCAAAGGTCTATCAAAAAAAACCCGGCAACGGATATCTTCTTTCTATTTCTGCTCATTTTCAATACTTCTGCATACTACGTGAGCCAGAAGTAAAAACCAAAAAAGAAAATTGTTCAGCTCCGGCATAAGTTGCCGAAACGTTATCAGGGGATGAAGCATTAAGTATGTTGAAAGAAAGAGAAGATCGTAAGAAAAGAGATTAGCGAGGTTGAAGGAAGAAAGAAAGTGTCAGAGAGAACTTAAAAGAAAACAGAAAGAAGGAAGAGAAAGAAAGACGCAAGCGAGAAAAACAGGAAAAACCTTAAAAAGAAATTATCATCAAAACCAAAGAAGCAAAACTCCAAAGAGTAAAAAGGTAACTTATAGCTCTGAAAATCTGATACAGATATGTCAGATAACGATATTCCATACATGGATCACGACAGTGATGATTTTGAGGAGAGCTTTGTCGATGTTTGTCCTGTAGTGCAAAACCTGGAGATCTTCTGAAGAATTACAAGAAAAGATGGTATTTCTTGTGAATCATGTTTGTCGGCAATGGCATGTAGTGTGTGCCGGCTACACAGATTCAGAGGTCAATGAAAGCCACGTTTGTCTTTGTGTGCAATGCGTGTGAGTGAAATGTACTATCGTGCATATGCAACTGTTGTTTTTGTTGTTGTTGCTTGAAAAACTGTTATATTTAAGATAAATTGAAATTGAAAAGAAAAAAGAGAATGAAATAGATATCTTCAAGTGTAATTTGCGTTTGTATTCTTATTTTTTAAAAAAAAAGTTATTCATCATGTTTTTTAGAGGTTTATATTTAAACTGCCTGATATGTGTTAAGGTCTTGTTTATATTTAATAAACATAAATAATGACTACATGTAGTATAATTATAATGAAATTGTTGGGTTGATAATCGCACTGTGTTATTAACGATACACTTTTCTTTAAATCTTATAGCCTTGAATTGTGTTTATTTTTAAAAAATTGAAAGGGGGTCGATATTAGCGAAAAGGAGGTCGATACTGACAGTGTCACGTGTAATATTGGAAAACATATGCCACTGACATTAAGAAGGTAAAAACGGACGACCGTATTGGTTGGAAACAACCAATAGAAAAAGCTGGTTCATATGCTTAGGTCATATGCTACTAAATTCTTAAATCAACATTTCATTGAATAGTATCGCGTTAAAGGGTCGATATTACCCACCGTTGCTCTATTACTACGAAATGTTTATATATAAATATAGTATTTTGATAAATCTTGATCAAAATTATACAGTAACATTCTAATATTGTTCAGTATATAAGCAAAATTTGTTTTGTGGAGGTTTTTATCAATTTTTTGTTCAAATATATCCGAAAACAGATATCATAGGTCAAAAAGTTTGATGTCTCTTGAACAATTTAAACAACTGAAGTAAATTTTTTAAGCTTTTCATTTTTTTTTTTCAACAATTTAAAAGTGTGATTTAAAACAATGTATCATCTATGTGAGTCCCTGTGAGTGTAAATTGTACTTAAAGCGTTTTGTTATATGTTTTGTTTGACAGATATGTAATCATCTTATCAAGTAGCGATGCTTCTATTTTAACATATTGATATTTTAAATTCACATGTACTTAGTTTTATTCCCACTTCAGATTTATAAAATTAAATAGGTGAAATTTCAGACAGTGAGAAAAAAGTCCTACTTCTGAAAAAAAAAACTGTCATGCATCATGTAGGATGAATAGAGTGCAGATTTAATATTTTACATATTCTTAACCTTTTTTTACATACATGGATAGAAATGCATTTTTTTTTCAAATCTGGACGAAAGATTTTAACATAGGATGGTTATTGAGTACAAGCAGCATAAAGAAATCAGGCCTAAGGTTAATCAGATAAAGTTCAGGATAGTAACACTTAAGCGTGCATGACTGTGTGGTTATCACATCGGACCAGTAATCTAAGGATCGCTGTTCGACTAGGTTCAAACCCTGTCAGGAGCAATCATTTTTTCCTTGAGCAAGATATTTACACTTATTACTCAGTATTGGTTGGTTTCAGGAATGGATTCGAGACCTTTTCTATGAGCTTTATGCTTGCTACACAATTGAACAATAATGAATTCAAAAGAAGAAGGAAAAAAAATTTAGTATAAACCAACATTGCAGAATCATTAAAGAAGTAATTAAGCATATTATAAAATATATAAATTGTATTATATAATCATATTTACAAATATAAAAAAGAAGAACGAGGAACCAATGTCAACACCTGGTCAAGTTTAAACTGTATTTATTATTCCACCAACAACCTTCATCAGAAATAATTATATAATCATATTTGTTTAACATGCTGGATCAGAATGTGATTAACCTTTTCCGCCAGTGTAGATTCAGGCTAGTCTGCAGATCCATGCAGTCTGACCAGACTCAATATTGTTGGCTATCGGTTTCTGTAATTTGATTTTGAAATTTCTTTATAAGTAGTAAATCTGTTCAAAATACAAAGCTGGGCATATCCATTACATTAATTTAGCATTTTTAAGGGTTAATATTATCCATACCTCTCACATTTGAGCCGCGTCATGACAAAACAAACATAGTGCGTTTGCGACCAGCATGGATCCAGACCAGCCTGCGCATCCGCACAGTCTGATCAGGATCCATGCTGTTCGCTTACAAACCCTATTACAAGTAGAGAAACTGATAGCAAACAGCATGGATCCTGATCAGACTGCGCAGATGCGCAGGCTGGTCTGGATCCATGCTGGTTGCAAACCCATTATGTTGGTTTTGTCATGACGCGGCTTAAATTTTGTCTACAATATATGTAACCAATGTGATTCAACTGTTCCTCAAGTTTGTCTATTTAATAGTATAATTGTCACATTTCCAGGCTGCGACAAATGTGCATACAAAACAAACCGGTTTGACAAATGTGATTTGTAATAAATATGCTCTGAACAGACTCTAATGTCTACTTTATTGTCATATTTTCTTTATTAAATCCCTTTCACAAACAATGGAAACTTCCAGATTCGAGGTCTATTACACAAATTCTGCAGTTCAAGAGCCAAATTAATGTTATTGAATACTTTTATGATATATTGTTAGTGTCATTTATTCACATTGTGTTTTTCTGTATATTCAGGCCCACAGCGTAAAATACATGCTTTATATGATTACGATGCAAGAACGGAAGATGATCTGAGTTTCAAAAAGGGAGACACTCTTGTCTTACTGGACCAGGGAGCTGAAGAGTAAGTAGACATTATTACCACTTGATGGGATGCCTCTGGCATAACAATAATAATATGAGCCGCGTCATGACAGAACCAACATAGTGGGTTTGCGACCAGCATGGATCCAGACCAGCCTGGGCCTCCACGCAGTCTGATCAGGATCCATGCTGTTCGCTTACCAACTCTATAACAAGTAGAGAAACTGATATCCTGATCAGACTGCGCGGATGCGCAGGCTGGTCTGGATCCATGCTGGGCGCAAACGCATTACGTTGGTTTTGTCAAGACGCGGCTCATATATTCGAGGTTGCATGTGTGTCCATGCCACCTGACCAGATTTTATACTGTTTGCTACTCAGTTATAGTATTTTTAGCTTAAATATTTAAAGAATGGGGAGAGCTATTGTGCTTGCCCTAGCGTCGGTGTCGACATTGCCTTCACAGTTTTGTAAAAATTTTGTGTGCAAGTTGGTATCACCAAAACTATTGTAGGTTATGTGTTGACACTTCACACAGTTGTATTTTTTGTGATTATCTAACATGGTGGAACAGGCCCCATTACTCTGAATTACCTTTTTACAATGTTATGCCACTTTTTTTACAGTCAAGCACTGAGAATAGTCAAGGGTGCTGTCATATAGATAGCTCTTGTTTTAATTAAGGGCAATTCCAAATTCAAAACAGGGCATGTTCATTATGCTTATTCATTAGGTAAATGTATCAAAACAAATTTAAACAATAAAGCATTTCATTTATTCTGTTCACTTTCTTAAAGAGTTTTTAATAGATTTTGGTTCATATTGAATAAAAAATCATTGTTTTATAAGTACTTTCCTCAAAGAAAAGGGAAATATATTGAAATTACGAAAACTTTGGGAGGAGTCATTATGATGCATAAGTGGTTACTCTACTTTAAAATGAGCTGTGATATTGAGATATATAAAAAATCAAAGCACTGAAAGTACTGTAAACCAGCCAAGTTTGTGAAACTGTAAACCAGCCTGAAACTCTGTAAACCAGCCAAGTTTGTGAAACTCTGTAAACCAGCCTGAAACTCTGTAAACCAGCCAAGTTTGATAAACTCTGTAAACCAGCCAAGTTTGTGAAACTCTGTAAACCAGCCAATTTGTGAAACTCTTTGAGCATTTTATAATACTCTTGGCATCAGTACTGGCACTCGTAAACAAAACTTGTTGGTAGCACATGTTCTTAATGACTGCATTAAAGCTGAAGAGTTCTGTCAAATAGTTGAAAGCTTTGTTCTTATTCTGATGATATCTTCTCAGGACATCACAACTGTGTGCTGCAACTATCACATATCAAGATTATTTATTAATATGCTATTTTATTGCAACACATGTCATTCATATTTTTTATCTGTTGCCTCAAATGTACTTTCAACGCTGAACTATTTCAGTACAAAATTGTAACATGTACTCTTGTAGATGGCTTGAGAGGAAGGTTGGTGGAAAATTAAATGAATATTTTAAAATGTTTATCAGTTTTGAGATATGTCTACCAGAGGCAGTAACAAAAATGAAAAAGAAAAAAACAAAAAAACAAAAAAAAAACACGTTTACAAAATAAATTAAACATCTGTATATTTGTTTCTTTTTATTATTTTTTTTTATTTATTTTTTTATTAATCTTTTAAGTAATACCTTCTGATTTTCACTGTAACATATAATCAAATGTGACTGATATTAAAGAAAATTATAGACTGTGAGAAACTTCCTGAATTTGTTATTTCTCATGCTTGATAAACTCTCTTTAACAGAAATGTTTCCTTTAAAGATTATATTAAGAGTATTTGTGAATGATATGTTTTATAGTTTGAATAATTCATACAAGATTATAACTTCATATTTATGTCTTGTATGTACACTGCCACCATTTTTCTTAGCACCTCTGTATCATGAACAGTATCTAAGATATTTGGTATGTAAGCACCTTGTATAGACCTCCAATCTTTGTAGGGGTTTTAAGATAGACCTCAAACCTATGGTGGGAATTATAGGTCATTTGTTTCAAGGTCACTAACACTTTAAAGAGATTCTTCTTCCTTATAATGTGGCTGACCAACATATTGAACTATTTAATAGCATGTGATTTTAATTATCTTATTGAATAAATTGATTTACTACCAGTATGAAGTGCTGAGAATAGTAATTTTTTAATGCACTGTTTCTATGACAGGACTTCTGTTTTCATTTTAGTAAACTACCAAGGGTCCGGTCCGTAAAAAAAAAAAATGAACATTATTAGTAAATTTCCTTTTTTACTTTTAATGACTTTTCTAAATGTTTATGTTTATAGGAATGAAGACTGGTGGTTTGCTCGACATACAGATCCAAGTTACCAGAACAGTAAATATGAGGGATATGTCCCGAGGAACTACGTGGCTATTGAGGATACAATAGAGTCCCAGGAGTAAGTCATCTATATTTATACCACAGAAGATAGAGTTATACCACAGAAGATAGAGAATTAAATTATTACCAATTATATACACCAAATTCTTCTGTATATTAACCCTTACTATGCTAAGTATCTTAAATGGACTTTTTCAAGAACTGACTGAACCGCCTCTGTGGTCGACGGGTTAGAGTCGATGACTTCTAATCCAGTTACCTCTCTGGCGTAGGTTTGATCCCCGGGAGATGTTATGGTAGTTTAGCCCAGAGGAAGGTAGTCTAGTACTGGTGTAATTCTCCAGGAACGATGGTTAGGAAACTACCGCCTATATGACTGAAAAACTGTTGGGAAAAGGCGTAAAATGAAACAAACAAACAAGTACTGACTGAGTAGGAAAAAGTTGTGACTAGGATCAAACATCCTTGCCATCTGATCTTGGTCAGCACTGGTCACAGTGGTAGATTAAGTTTCAGCTAGAAGGTTTAGGTTAATTTGAAACAACTTGCTCTTGACTGTTGTTCTTATAATTGGCTAGGGATATGTAGTTTTAAAGGGACTTAACTGAGGTTGTTTTTTCTTTTACATGAAGGGACTGGAAATATTTTTTTCAAAAATTGGTGTACTGCTTGATGGAAGTCTAGGCTAAGAGTGTGTGTGCAAAATTTCCTCATTCTGTTTTTCCAGAATAATTTTTAATTATGCAAAGTGACCAACACTTTTCACTAAAACTGGGCTAGACTCATACTAAAAATAAATTTTTAAGTTAAGTATATTTCTTAATTACCTTTTGCAGATTTTCCCATTTTAAGTGCATGCATCTCTTGATATATGTAAAAATTTCAAATTTTGTGCTTTTAGGTCTTTTGACCTTTTTGACCTCAGTGGAGCTCCTTTAATATATTCGGAAGCCGTCTGCTAGCTTGTACAACTAAGTAACAGAAGGTGTCGTCTGCATGTGTCTTATAATGTGCATCTCCAGAATATCTAGATGCATACATGAATATTCTTAAAGTTTCACAACTGTTACAGTATTATCACATTTACATGTACTTCATATTATTTATTGGTCAACTTTTTAAAAACAATTGCTTATAAGGAAGTTTTTAAAGAAAGTAAATGTTTTTTTTATGATTTGATAAGAGCTGTATAACAGTGCAATCTCTGCAGATATCATAGTTACTTTCATATTCAGTGCAGGTCACTTTCGTTGTTATTGATCATGATATCTTTTCTATGGTCATTCGCGCTGTACCTCTGCTCTGGCATGTACAGAAGTTATCAGTTCCTTGCCAAAGTGAAGGCAACTACGGTAGTACTGGTAAACTGCTTGGCAGTCTGCCAAAGAACACTGTGGTGTTTGAAAGTTGCTCTGGTAAATTTAAAGTGGCTTACTGCCGTGATCCGGAGTTGAAACTATCAACACACCAGAGCAAACCCCGTTTGAAGACAAAGACTGTGATAGTTGTTTTTTGATAATTTATGCATTGTACTATGATATACGAGAAAAGTAAAAAAACTTTTTGTTGATTTTTAAAAATATTTTGCACTTAAAACATATCATTGCAACTTAGAATCTTTCACCTCTGTTATTTTAAAGAATCTGAGACAGAATTTTTTTTTAATATGCATTGCGCTATGATATACGAGAAAAGTATAAAAAAAAACTTTTCGTTGATTTTTAAAAATATTTTGCATTTAAAACATATCATTGGTGTTCTAGAATGGCACAATTTATTTTGTTTTACAGATGGTATTTTGGGAAAGTGACACGAAAAGAAACAGAAAGGAATTTGTTAGCTAAAGGAAATGAAGTAGGGACATTCTTGATTAGAGAAAGCGAGACTTGTCCAGGTATCAGAATATGTTCTTGTATATTTGACCAGTTAAACCCTTAACCTGCTTGTACTGGAAATGATCTCCCTTTGCCACTAGTATAGAGCCAGGCAAGAGTTGACATCGGTGCAAACAAACAAGACTCTTATACTGTTGGTATCTCAATTTTTGTATTATGATATTGAAATCCCTTGAACTTTAAATGGACTGTCCCAAAAATCAGTGCAGGGCAAATCCACAAGTTAAGCAGGCTCAAGGGTCAAAACTATGATACAACTTCATAAAGTACTCACTATTTCAAATTTGAAGCATTATAATAGAGACATATAGATATACTAGTTTGATCAATTATAAAATTATTAAAGTGCACTTAACTAGGACGGCCTTTTGTTAACGAAAGCTAGAATTGACTGGTGACATTATGTTGAAATTTAATTCTTAAGAGACTGAGTGTGAGGGTGGGTCATTGTTATTTTTGTGCCAATAGCTAAGTTGTTGGTTGATTTTGTTATTGTTGAATTATGTTATATTTAAATTTATTTGACTGGTTCACATGTTTTGTTGGCCTTGATTTGGACATATTTGTTAAGTGCAATAAGGAATAGTATTTTTTATGATGAATTTTACATAACCCAGCCTATATGTCCCTTCATTTGTGGTCTGCATTAAGTGGAGAGGTCACCTTAAAGCATTATTGAAAGCTTTTTGCACCAAGAAGAACACTTAGTTTATCAGTTTTAGGCTTTATGACAGTGTCAAGGGATAATACTCTGTAGGCAAGTTCAATGACCTTCATTATTATGCCAGCCTTCGCACCATGTGCTAAAGATCTTCATGTAACCTGTCCCTAACAGCTTTGGGAACTAGCCTATGTGTGTATATTATAAAAAAAGCATCACCTTAAAGGAACTCCACTGAGGTCCAAAAGTCTAAAAACTTAAAATTTGAATTTTTTACATTGATCGGCTAGGGCACATGAAACAGAAAGCTTTGCAAAAGATTATTAAGAAATATATTCAAAACTGTATTGAAAATTGTATTTTTGTGCTATTCTTAGCCAAATTTGAGTGAAAAACATTTCATCACATTTGGAAGTTTAGGTCATTTTGGCGATAAGGATTATTATTCTGGAAAAACAGTGAGCAAATGATGTGAAATTTTGCACACAAGTTATTGGTCTAGACCTACATCAAATGGAACATAAATCTCAAAAAATTATTTCCAGTCCCATCATGTATAAAAATCTAAGTGGAGTCCCTTTAATGTGAAGCATGCATTCATCCTAAATAACCTGACACTTTTGAATTAAGTCAAGACACTTTATTTACCTTACTTTGGGCTTGATGATTAGATTGAATACTGTGAATTTACTTAATTTCATGGTCATGAAATTTTGTGTTTTTTCGCATAGAACATTTTTTAGGGTTCTAAAATTCATAGATTGTCTGTTTGCTGAAAAAGAAAAGAATCAAATAATGCAATGCAAAATAATCATAAAGCACACAAAATGAAATAAAGCAGGCAAAATGAAATTTTGTTGGATCTTAAATTCGTTGACTGATTTATTCATTAAAACCACCAAAAATTAGTGCCCAATGAAAACTAATGATTTTGCAATACATGAGCTGCACTGGTGGATTATAAATTTAGCTGAGAGACTTTCAGGCTGTCAACAGCATAACATGATGACTGAAAAGTTATGTAATTGTAACTCAATTTCAGTTTTATTTTACCAGATACATTAAACATGTTGCATATGCATGATGTTAATCAATTGTTTGTCTGGACTTTAGAGGTCATTTCATTTTTGATAATTGTTTAATGGTTGAATATCTACTGCATTCCCAGTATCAATTGTAAATTTAACAGAGACACAGGTGGGAACAACGCTAGTCGGGACAAATGCACGAACAGGAGTAAAAGGTGAAAAATTGAGGATGTCTGCGTAATGCGTAAAATTTTTGATATTCCTCATTGTCTATTTGACTGGATTTATGTTGACAATAGTTATATTGTCAATATTTTGTTTCTTATCTGAAAACACTTGTTAAGTAGCACATTGCATGATCAGCTTGATATTTGGATCCTGGTTTGTGCGATATTTCTGTTGACAGCGTTGACATTTTGTGTCCTTGTGTAATTTTCTTCCATCATGTTTACTTGTATAATGTTTGTTTTGTTGTTGTTGTTCTTCTTGTGGCTGTTGATGTCAGTGCTTATTGTGATGTTTTTTTGTTTCACTGTATGGACGCCATTGACTGTTGCCACTGATTGCAGTTGTTGCTATGACTACTTGTGTGCCTGGGTAATTCGTTAATCAGTTTTGATTTAAATCCATGAGCTTTTCTCACACTTTCCTGGCACTTGTACCAAAAAACAATACTGTCTTGATTTATTTCATCTTTGTCAATGAAACTACTGTCAGTAGCTTTTCATTGTAATCTAATGTGACAAATGCATCTTTTGTGTCCATGCCCTACTTTTAGCAGCACTTCATTTGTAATTTTGTGATAAATGCATCTTTTGTGTATTTGCCTTGTTCTTCATCATTGAACTTGCGAATAATGGATTTAATGATGTCTGCACACAACTGCCTTGAATTCATCAAAATTTTTCTTTCAATTATCAGCATCATCATCAGTAAAGGGTTCCCATGTTGCCTGAATACCTTTTCCATTATCATTTACACATATCGGCGAATAAGAAACTTTTCCCCGTAAAATTTTGTCCTTCGGTGGCCCTGTTCAGTTCAACATTATCTACCAAATTTTACCCATAGTTCAAAATTTTTTTTACACCTTCCAGTAAATAACACAATTCAGGTACAAACAGTCCTGTTAAATGAATTTTACTATTCTTTAAACTCCAGTTACAAATTTTGAAACCATGCAATATTATTTATTTTCTTTCTATGTTATTAAAAAGTTGTGTTTTTGTGATTATTGGTACATGTATAATAAATTTAATGTACATTCATATAACCTTTTCAGGAAGGGTCACCTTTGGAATGAATTGTATATGTTAAGTCGTATAAAATTTTTGTCATTTCTAGGGAGCTATGTATTGTCAATTAGAGATTATGACCAAAACAAAGGCGATTGTGTGAAACATTACAAAATGAGAAACATGGACGATGGTGGTGTGTACATTGCAGCTAGACGACCCTTCAAGTCTATTATGGAACTTGTTGAGCACTACAAAGGTCAGAAATTTTTTTTTCTTTTTTTTAAAAATATTTGTTCATTCAATATTAATAAAATGTGCATTTATTCTTCATTACATTAAAGTAACCCTTAATTTTTTACAGGTTTACTATTGTAAAAAATAAATACAGGCCTATGCTACTAGTATAGAACCACCAGACCAGCAGTCTGGCGAGATTCTTTATTGCTGACTGCTTGACACAAGCTTTTTAATGTTAGGACCATATCATATGACCATTGGCAATTTCAAACTCAAAATCAAAACTATACAAATTTAGTAGGACAGGTGTCCAGCTAGCCTACTTAAGGTCAATGCTTCTGCTAAGTTGCCTTCTTGTGATTAAAATGATTCAAAGAGGGTTAGTTTGGGTTGTTTTATGGTCATTGAAATGTCACCTTTATGCCTGGTACACAGTTTGTATAGCATTATATTATGAAAACAAAACTTGTTAGAAGTTCCTTCAAATATTTAAAAATTTCTCTGAAAATGCAGACGTAAATTTTAAACAGGTAGCGCAGACGGTTTGTGTCGATCGTTGAAGAGTCCGTGTCCAAGGGCAGCTCCTGTTATGTCCGACTTGAGTCGAGAAACAAAAGATGCATGGGAAATCCCAAGAGAGTCTTTACAACTCATGAAAAAACTTGGTGCTGGACAGTTTGGGGAGGTGTGGAAAGGTGAGATATTGTGCTTGTTTAAACCCTTAACCTGCTGGACAAAAGTAATTAGGCTTTGCCACCAGTATAGAGCCAGGCCAGCATACACTTCTCCTGCAGTCTGACCGAGCTCTATACTGGTTGTAGCTTTATTTCTATATTTTGATATAGAAATCCCTTAATCTTTAAATGGACTGTCCCAAATGCAAAGCTTGGCAAGTCCATTAAAGAAATTCAGCAGGTTAAGAAGTTCTCTTTAAATGTAATAGTTACATATTTGGTCCTATCTGATACATTAACAGATCTCCTCCTATTTTCTTGGTCAGTATCAAATCAAATTTTAAAAGGTTTATTTTTATCATTTTAAAAGCTGTTTTGACATAAAGTGAATATAAGTAAAGCTTTGAGAGCTAGTGTAGCAATATTATTTATGTTCAAAGTTGCACACTTCCAGATGAGTAAACAAATCATCAAAAAAAATCAAATTATCTTTACAGTTAAAAGAAATGTATAAATATTTGTGATTTAGGCGACTTTTTGCTTCTGCAAAATATTGCAGAATTTTCTATTTTCATCTCACAATTTTTACCCCATATCTGATGGTGTTATGGCAATTTTGAATGTATGGACATGTTTTTGGACAGTTTTTGTGGGGTAGGAAGTGCCTTTGGCAAGAATAGTCAATTATTTATTCACTCGACAACATTTTTACAAGTTTAGGAACTTTCAAATTGTTGTAAGAATTATTGGAAATTTTGTGACATTCTGCTTCTGAATACTTACAGACTATTTGAAGGCCATACATTTTGAAAAGTGAAGTTTGAAAATTCATTTTGTAAATTTATATCTTTAAACATTATGATCAAATTTTGTAGACTATGTGAAGGTCATTTATTTTGAAAAATGAAGTTTTAAAGTACTTCCTGTTGATTTTTTTTTTTAGCTTTAATGTATTCGTATTTTGTTGACCGTGAAGGTCATACATTTCGATTAGGGGAGTGTGAAAATATTTTCGCGGAATTTTTGTTGATATAAAACTTGTCTTGTGTGACGAGAGTATTTGATACATTTACATTGTTGTATTTAGTTATACTTCCTAGTGTTTTAGCAATCGTGAAATCATGACCGCGCTTCATGTAAAATTTCATATTCAAAAGCATCTACTTGAATAAATTATCCTAGACAAGTGCTGTTTCATATTTTTACCATTTTTTCCTTGATAGAAGTCTTAAAACCAATGAAATGATGTGTTTCATTTTAACCTCAGGGATTTCTTTTAATTCTAATTATTTTAAATTACTTTTTAAAAATTGCTTCTTCCTTTTTACATTTTGGTTGCAAAAGGCATTATTATATGATCTAAATATAGCTGCAATCTCATTTGTCCAAACAGTAGTCAACAGAACTATTTATAAAATCATATTCACTGGGTGTAGTGTCATATTCACTGGCTGAATTGGAGTCTAAAAATAGGTTGAGACTCATATTCAATGACCATACATCGTAGACTGTTAATTTTACATAAAAAAGCAATTGTTGCGTTTTGTTGTTTATGTCATATTTCTCGATTATATTTTTATATATTTATCATTACCGCAATATTGTGTATAAACTTGAGTTACTTTTGTTTGTGCAGCGTTCACGTAGTCGTTGAATGCCTGACATCATCTTGTTTAAAGTGCCTCTTTTTCCTTGCGCTTCAAAGAAAACAAGCAAACATTATGTTTTGTATTTCCTATAAGGTTTTACTTTTTGTTTGTGTGTTTTTTACCCCCAAAAATGAAGTTTGGGGGGGTATATAGGAGTCACCCGGTGGTCGGTCGGTTGGTCGGTCGGTCGGTTGGTCGGTCCAGCGGTCCGTTGCATTTTCCTTGTCCAGAGCATAACTTGAAGACTAATGGTTGGAATTCAATATAACTTCATACAATGGTCATGCACATTGAGAGGAAGTGCAGTGCACAAGAACCATAACTCCATCTTGACTAATTACAGAGTTATTGCCCTTTGTTACTTTTCCTTGTCCGGAGCATAACTTGAAAACTACTGGTTGAAACTCGAAACAACTTCATACAATTGTCAAGCACAATAAGGGGAAGTGCAGTGCTTAAGAACCATAACTCTATCTAAGGTAATTACAGAGTTATTGCCCTTTGTTATTTTTCCATTGCTTTCTTTTGTCCGGACTATAACTTGAAGACTAATTGTTGGAATTCAATATAACTTCATACAATGGTCAAACACATTGAGAGGAAGTGCAGTGCATAAGAACCATAACTCTATTTTGACTAATTACAGAGTTACTGCCCTTTGTTACATTTCCTTGTCCAGAGCATAACTTGATAACTACTGGTTGAAATTCAAAACAACTTCATACAATGGCCAAGCACAATAAGGGGAAGTGCCATGCACAAGAACCATAACTCCATTTTGACTAATTACAGAGTTATTGCCCTTTGTTACTTTTCCTTGTCAGGAGCATAACTTGAAAAACTACTGGTTGAAACTTGAAAACTACTGGTTGAAACTCGAAACAACTTCATACAATTGTCAAGCACAATAAGGGGAAGTGCAGTGCACAAGAACCATAACTCTATCTAAAGTAACTACAGAGTTATTGCCCTTTGTTATTTTTCCATTGCTTTCTTTTGTCTGAACTATAACTTGAAGACTTAAAAGTTTGAATTCAATATAACTTCATACAATGGTCAAGCACATTGAGAGGAAGTGCAGTGCACAAGAACCATAACTCCATCTTGACTAATTACAGAGTTATTGCCCTTTGTTACATTTCCTTGTCCAGAGCATAAACTTGAAAACTATTGTTTGTAATTCAATACAACTTCATACAGTTGTCAAGGACATTAAAAGGAAGTGCATTGCACAAGAACCATAACTCCATTTTGACAAAATACAGAGTTACTGCCCTTTGATACTTTTCCTTGTCCGGAGCATAACTTAAAATGTACTGGTTGGAATTCAAAACAACTTCATACAATGGTCAAGCACAATAAGAGGAAGTGCAGTGCATAAGAACTATAACTCCATCTTCAGTATTTATAGAGTTATTGCCCTTTGTTCCTTTTCCTTGTCTTTCTGGACTTATTACAGAGTAATTCAATAAAACTTCATCAATGGCCAACCACATTGAAAGGAAATGCAACATACAAGAACCACAACTATCTTTAATTGCCCACAACCATAACTCTATATTTCAATTCTTTTACAAGGTATTCTGTTACTAGTAACATCCTCTTTTCCGAAGTAGTCTTGTGGGGGTATTAATCACATTTAGTGATAGTTCTAGTTAATCTTTGCCTTTTCATCATAGATTAAAACAATTATTGACTAGTGAGCTATTAAATATGATGTGATATTCACAAGCAGAAAATCATATTGACCTGGGCAGTATATGTATAGGGAAAAAGAGGAAGTTTTAGTGTGACATTCCTCATTACAACTCAATAGATAAAAGTTCATGTAGATAAAACCTCTGACAGTAATAAACTATGCTTTAACCAACAAGGAAGAAAAAGTCTTAGTCCCGGCTTTGTAAACTTGATAACAGTGAAAACATTTTAGTCATAATATAAACTTAAACAGGAAGATGCAAAAGGACACTTTATGTAAAAGAAAACATCGCTTAAGGGTTTTAAGAAATATTCAAGTCCATATTAAGAATATAATGAGGGTGTTCTTATATCCTGATATTGTACACTAGTATATTTCATGTATTAATATTAAAGGGAATTCCCTGATAAGTAATCAACTTAGGAAAAAGAATTGTAATAAAAAGAATGGTAACTTTGGTAGCTTTAAGTGATTATTTAAATCAACTTGCCTGTAGATTCATGGTAGTTTTTGTGAAACTCTAAATAAATATTGCATGTAACGTCAAATAAAAATGCAGAGATTTAAATATTCTTAAGTACCATTACTTTCAACTGAAATTTCCTTATAATGTCAAAATTAAAGATATACTATGCTTTGATTTTTAGAAATATTAATATGAAGTAAACATGTTTCAACTTCATTTAAAGTAGATATGTTATGTTTTGAACTCTACACGCTACAGGTGGTCACAATATAAATATATAGTGTCATTAAAAAAACTGGCAGTTTTTTAAGAAAAGACCAACTAAATTACTTAACCCGTAATAGGGAATGCAGCTCCCTATACATAGTTTATTCATTATTTTATTCAAATTAAACATATTCAGTAAGAATTTCATGAATTTCAATACATTTCTAAGATAAAAATATTTTACCCAAAAATGAGCATAGTATATCTTTAAATATGATATAAAAAATATTGTCAAAATGTGCACAAAATTGACTTATTTGGACCTCCATACAAATTACTAAAATCTGACTTAAAAAAATGTAAAAGAAGCAAAAGATGGCTCAGCCTTATGGCCAATTAGTAACTTCTTGCAAACTGTAACAGGACACCAAAAGTATAAACTTTTGGAGAAATAAAAAAAAAGTGTTTTATTTTTGGTGCTAAATGGGCCTTTAAGTATAATTATAATAATGATGGTTTACAGTGACGGGAAATTTTGCAACATTGAAATAAGGATATAACTTGTAAATTTTGTTTCAACAGTTATGTTAAGATATAATTAAGAGAAATTGAAACATGATCGTGTAATTGGTTGAGTTAATTTATTCGCAAAACAGTAATGTCATTGTTATTTCACGGCATGTTATACCTTAATGTTTATTTTGTTACTTCAAGCTTTTAAATACATGTATAAAATTTTTACCTAAATCACCTTTTCTTTTAGTTTAAACTGTTTGAGTACAAAAAGATTATTGTTTTCTGCTATAGGAATGGATTGTTTTACGCCTTTCAAAGTTAATTTTTTATGCTTTTCAACCATATATATTTTATAGATTTTTTTTCCGAAAATATTGTAATGTTAAATTTTTTGCAGACATGAATGTTAAGCTAAGGACAGAATGACTTATATAAGTACTTGAATATGATCTTAGATAATTACTTAATTATAAATTGAGAACTATAAACTACTAGTCATTCAGTCTTAACCATTACCCTGCTAAATATCTTAACTGAAATTGTTTATCATTAAATCTGGATAAAAAAGCAAAACAAAAAAACTTCATGATTTTTAGGGAAATTTCTGATATATTTACTGACTGAAAAGCGAACAGTGCAGACAATGATCAGAAGGCACAGATATGCCAGCTGGGCACATAGGTAGTATCAGTTGCCGCTAGCAGGCTAAGCAAATGAGCTTTTCACCAAATGAAGGACAGGGCTTTGGTGATGCATGTCTCTGAAATATAATGAATGACTCTCATTAGACATGAAGTCAAAGAAGCTGGGCTAAATTTTATGCTCCAAAAATGGGGAGGCATATAATTTTTGTTGCATCTTTCTGTCCGTCCGTCCATGGGAACTTTGTCCTGTACATACCTGTCATGTGGAAGATCTAGGTCTGAAGCTAAAAAGTAAAGGTCACACTCTGATTTCAAAGGAAAGTTTCAATAAAAATGCACTGATGTTTGTTTCCAATCAAAAATTTTGTCATTGATGGATTAATTTTAAAAATTGTATGCATAAATGTGCTGGGCATAATGACAATGTATCGCACACAAAAATTGTGTCATGGTCATGGTTCCTCTACTAGGCCCTGCTTTGGCATAATGTATAATTGTTGAAAAAATTTTTATTATAATCAAGGCATATTTAAAGAAGAGCAAGAAGGGTTGGGTTTTTTTTATTTACAGTCAATTTCTAAATTTATGATGAATGAGGTCATTGATAAATATTCCAGTATTCCAAATCTAGATCCAAATATTGAAATCCCTTTGAATAACAATGGTCAATCCTGAATTCAAAGTAGAGCAAGTCCATTAAATTTTCAGAAACATAGGCGGGTAAAATTAATAATGTGATCATGATTTAATGCAGAGAAAGGAGTTTGTGCTGTAAATTCACGTAATTCCGTGGGCACGAAATTTCATTGTCTCAAAGAACAATTTCATGGGTAATTGAATTCATGGTTTATTAATTTTTGCCAAAAAAAAAAATGCAAATAATGTAGTGGGGAAGAAAATCTAGCAGCAAATGAAATGAAATTTCTTCAGATGTTGAATTTATGTAGTAACCTATCCACAAAAACCATGAAAAATTAGTACCCCACAAATAATAATGATTTTGCAGTATATGAATATGTATAAATATGAATAAGGATACACAACAGGAAATAGGATGAGTAATTGACATGCAGGAAGGTAATACAGTGTAGGTACTTAAGTTTGAATCTATGTACCAATGTGTATAATAATGAAAACACTCAATGACATAGTTGTATTTATTACCTAATATGATTGCCTTCTCAGTATTGAGTACTTCATATGTTTTCCTTAGCAGTATTGTGTTCCTGGTATGATATTCTTATCAGTATTGGGTTCCTGATATGATTGCCTTAGCATTATTAGGTTCCTTATATGCTTGTCTTAACAGTATTGGGTTCCTGATATGATTGTCTTAGCAGTATTGGGTTCCTGGTATGATTGCCTTAGCAGTATTGGGTTCCTGATATGATTGCCTTAGCAGTATTGGGTTCCTGATATGATTGCCTTAGCAGTATTGGGTTCCTTATATGATTGATTGTCTTAGCAGTATTGGGTACCTGATATGATTGCCTTAGCAGTATTGTGTTCCTGGTATGATATTTTTATCAGTATTGGGTTCCTGATATGATTGCCTTAGCAGTATTGGGTTCGTGATATGATTGCCTTAGCAGTATTGGGTACCTAATATGACTGCCTTAGCAGTATTTAGTTCTTCATATGATTGCCTTAGCAGTATTCGGTTCTTCATATAATTGCCTTAGCAGTATTGGGTTCCTGATATGATTGTCTTAGCAGTATTGGGTTCCTTATATGATTGGCTTAGCAGTATTCAGTTCTTCATATGATTGCCTTAGCAGTATTGGGTTCTTTATATGATTACCTTATCAGTATTGGGTTCCTGATATGATTGCTGTAGCAGAATTGGGTTCCTGATATGATTGCCATAGCAGTATTTGGTTACTCATATAATTGCCTTTGCAGTATTGGGTTCCTTATATGATTGTCTTAGTAGTATAGAGTACCTGATATGGTTATCTATGGTTAAATTCCCTCATTCATTGTAATGCTGAAGCTAAGTTGCTCTTTTGGTATTGTTCATAATGTAATAAAAGCAAAAAATGGGGGGGTATAATAGAAAAAAGGTTTTAAAGCCCCACATTTATGTTTTTTACCCCGGGTTTTTTGGAAATTATTTTTAACTAAATTTAAACACTCACTGCATTTTTTCCCAATTTAAGGAAAGTGGAACAAAACAACAGATTTCCCATCAAAATTAAACCGGGAAATGAAAGGAAGATTTTTAAACCCGGGCTCAGATTATAAAAAAAGGGGCATGATAAATTGTGCGTTTTTATGCGTCTTTCAAAGGGAAGAACCATATAATTTAACAGATTTTTAAAAAGACATTTTGCTGAATTATTTGCGAGAAGGTGATGGGAGGAATCTAAAATTCCCAGAAATGGTTGATATGGCTGGACAGGTAAGAATGATATTCTTAGAAAAATATGTTTATATAAATACAAAATTGATGCGTAAAATTAGTGGTCACTTTGTTGTATATACATGTAACATTGCACAGTGTGTAAATGTCTTTTGGTTGATAAAGGTCAATTCGATATGAAAGTTGTGTTACAACAGATTAATTCAATATATTTGAAAAGTACGGGTTATATTTGGACACATTGTGATGTTATGTTTTAATGAAGAAATTTGCAGTACTGTCACACTAAGAAGACTAAGAAAAGAAAGTTTGAGAAGTTTTATGACTTGCTATCTCTTGTGAGAGAATGTAACAGAAATGATGTTACCTTTCTTTTTTCACAGACACTTGGGGTTACGTGAGTGGCTCCGCTTCTTGATCCGCACTTGTATACACCATGTAAAATTTTTTTGGCAAACTTTACGCCCAACTATTTTTGCATACTATTACAACTTGGTCATATGTCTTGGACATGGTACTTGTTTTCGGCTATTTTGACAATGTTTAAAAAAACTCCCTAAAATATCATTCTTTCAGGAAATTGAAGCATGCGTAAACAATTGAAACGTTTTTAAACATTTTTAAAACATTATGAAATTCTATTCAAACTTGTTCACATGTTAGACAGTAGACCATGTTATACAAATATTTAAAACAAATTAAGACTAGTAATTGCAAAAAAATAATGGTTTTAATTTTTAACATTCAGGGGCGTGGGAAGGGCGTGTCTAGACTCAAAGTGTCTGTGCTTTTCTTACTCTTTTTCAATTTATTTATAAGTTTAGAAAACAAGTATCTTGGGACCTAGTAAAGGTACAGATATTTTTATTTTTGCATATCAGACAGGATTATCTCCTGTTAACACCGGTGGTAGAAAACCCTGTCTTACATCCCCCATGTAAGACAAATCGCGTCGTTAATGATGTCATTGCTTCACACCTTTTATGAATGAATTGCATTCTAAGGATGACATCATTTTACTGTTATGAATGAAGTTTGTAAGTTCATACGCTACTATAAGAAAAAGGTGTGTAATGAAAATATCAGTTTTCGTAATTTCTGTTCGAAAATAATTGATATTTAATATGCAAGAAGAATCAAACACTGGCTGTCGGTGCAGACAGGAATATCCAGCTCATGGTAAACTGCTTAGCAGAATTTAGGCAGAGCCTCATTACCCCCGTAAACAGTTACCCGAGAGCTATTAGATATTCCGGTCTGTACCGGCAGCCAGTGTTAGATTCTTATATTTTACAACTTTTGTTATTGTCATGACATAAAAGTAAGCTACAACTATTTAACACTATGTTTGCATCATATAGATATGTAATGGAATGTCTCATTTTATGAGAAAATGTACATTTATGTTGCAATCATTGAGCCGGTGAAACCTGTGCAACTGGTCTGGAGCCAGACCAGTCTGCACATCCATTCAGCCTTGCCGAGCTTTTTAATTTCTGTCTCATTTCTTTTACCTGACATGTCCTTTAGAATAGAAGTCAGACAAATTGATGTTGAAAATTTAATACATAATGGTTTAAACACTGACCAATTTGTTGAATATTTCAGATAGCAAGTGGCATGGCTTATTTAGAGAGAAATAAAAAGATCCATAGAGATCTAGCGGCCCGAAATATATTAGTTGGTGACAATAATATTGTCAAGGTCGCTGACTTCGGTCTGGCTAAGATTATTGAGGATGATGAATATAATCCTAAACACGGTAATCTTCGCACATTGACGGCATATAGCCATGTTTGTCTTTAGTGGTTAACCTTTGTTGTATTTCTACTACACAGATGTTACAACTGATTGTGTTACACCTGAATGTGTTAGTTTATGTGTTGAATTAATCATAGAGACTTACATGATTGTGTGTTGTGTAAACTACTTTCTGTGCATAGAACAGCATATACTGTAGTTTTTTGGCATATTCTTTCTAGATCGAGTTGAAATAGACAGATATATATAGTATCATGTTTATATATCTGTAAATAATCTATGCAGTAATGTATAGGTATTTTTTTCGACAATTTTTGAAAAATTAGGTATTTTTTTGTGAATTATTGATTGAAAAATGCTGCAAAAATATGGGTTTACACAACTTACAATTATATTATATATAAATTAAAAACTGCTTTGCAAATTCATGTTTATTCAGTTTTAAAAGCTCTGAACAAAGGATGAATATTTTTAACACAAGTATATTTAGTTGATAAACTATTTTGGGAAACATGTTGCCATACATGTATAATGAAAGAGAATATAGGCAATTTGTTGAAGTTGAATTGTTAGAAATTGACATCCTTTGTATAGAGTTGGGTAAAGGATTGTTTTATGTTACTCGGCTGCACCATAGAGCTTTCATTAATTTAGTGTTCTTCTACCCTGATAGAGATTGTTACATACTGGTACCTTTGCAACAAAGTAGGCGGAGCAAAGCAGATTGGCATTTACTTCTTTTGTTTAATAAAATCCCTAATCATTGGATTATGCATTATCAATTACTACAAACTATGTAAACTAAGTAATTACTAAGTAAAGGTCTATACAGGAGAAACACACATGTTCTGTCCTATAACATGGACCTTTTGTAAAGAAGAGTTATCACCTTGAGCTATGTGGGGTGGGAAGTGAAAGTTTTAGCTCAAACTTCTGACGGCAACAGCTTAATTAAAAGTAATCAACATTGTACAGGATTTTTAACCAGGTTTTCAACGGAAACCAGGTTATTGTAATGCCGAAGTCGGCGGGCAGGCGGGCCGGCGTCAACTTTTGGTTTCCGCTCAATAACTTTAGTTTGCTTTGGCCTATTGACACAAAACTTGGTGTTTGTAGGTAGCTTATATCAAGAGGCAGCTTAAGATTGCTACCCAGGTGTCTGTGATCAAGGTCAAGGTCACTGTTACTAAAAATAGAAATTCAGTTTCCGCTCAATAACTTGAGTTTGCTTTGGCTATTGACATCAAACTTGGTGTATGGATAGCTTATATCAAGAGGCAGCTTGGGATTGCTACCCAGGTGTCTGTGATCAAGGTCAAGGTCACTGTTACTAAAAATAGAAATTCAGTTTCCGCTCTATAACTTGAGTTTGCTTTGGCCTATTGACACCAAACTTGGTGTGTAGGTAGCTTATATCAAGAGGCACCCAGGTGTCTGTGATCAAGGTCACTGTTACTAAAAATAGAAATTCAGTTTCCGCTCAATAACTTGAGTTTGCTTTGGCCTATTGACACCAAAATTGATGAATGGGTAGCTTATATCAAGAGGCAGCTTGGGATTGCTCCCCAGGTGTCTGTGATCAAGGTTAATGCATTTAGTTTTCATGTTATAACTGGAGTTTGCTTTGATCTTTTGACACCAAACTTGCTGAGTGGCAGCTTTGGATTGCCACTTAGATATCTGGGAGCAAGGTCAAGGTAATTTTCTTACAATAGAATTTTCAGTATCTACTCAATGACTTCAGTGCACTTTGACCTATTGATTGCTGTCACAACAAAACTTGGTCGTTGAAAACCTGGTTTTCGTCGCATTGCGGCGCTTCTTGTAATATTTATTTTCGAAGAAATATTTTAAATTACTGTTTATATTTAACATACAAATGAAAAAATGAAAGAAAGAAGTAAGGGAAATTTAAGCTTAATTGGCTCTTGTTTGAATGCTGATGTTGATTGGAAAGGTCCTTGTTGTCGTCACTGTTAGGATGAAGGATGTTAAACTGTCTATGTAGAGCTTGACAGTTTGACATTTCTTTTCCTTGATAACTGCTTATTTTAACAATATAGGCTATTCTTGAAAAATTGTTGGTTTGCAGCCAAAAAAGAACACCATTAAGTGATACTTTTTATATTCCTCGCTTGTGTGGCAATGTATATTAACTTTGTAGATCACTTTAATGTTGGCCATAACAGCTTCTTTGTATAATTTAGATCCTTGATAAGTGGAAGGAACATACCTCTAGTCCAGAAGTTAATTTTGACTTATTACAATATGATCTTGATCCTTAATTGACCTTGCCCCTGAAGGTCATAGTTCAAAGTACAGAAAAATTATACTTCATCTTTGACATTTGTGAACAGATGTTTGATTTAGACATACAATGTTAAAAAAGGAACTGTAGCTACCTTATATCTACGTGTACCTTAGTTGTCTGCAAAACAACAATTTTTATGGATGGCCTTATTTCTATTTCTTCTAGAGCAACTGCTTGTAGGACACTATATTCTTCAAACATATAGCACTAATCCTTAATCTGCTGAATTCCACAAATACCCGTTTATGGAATTTTCTTTTGGGGGGATCATTTTGGGAATATCAAGATGTAAATAGACTTACTCCAGAATAAAGAATATTTTGGGGTTTTTTTCCCAGCTAATCCGAGGGTACAAACAAACTTTTACACTTACAGCTTCTAAAATAAGCGCAGTAGGTAAAACAAATCTAATGTTACTGCTAGTGCACCATAAAGCTGTTATGGTAAAAGTTTGTTTTGAATGGGGGATTAGTTCGAAAAAACCCTCATTTGCTGGGTTACAGAGAGCTTAAGTATAGAACCAGGTGAGAAATTGCACTACAAATTGCAACAATGTGTAAACCAATCTGGCTGTGCACTGTAGGTAAGGGTATATTGACTTGGGGTCCAGCAGGTTAAAGGTTAAGGTAGCAAACTGTGTTAATAGTTCATTTAATATTACTAATACCTTACTGTATTATCCCACCCATTATAGATAGCTAGTGGTATGGCATATTTAGAGCAACATAAAAAGATTCATCGAGATTTAGCTGCACGTAATGTGTTGGTAGGCGCAAATGGTGTCGTGAAAGTTGCAGATTTTGGTCTAGCTAAAGTAATAGAGGATGACGAATATACACCGTCATCTGCGGGTAAAATATTTAGACATGATCTTGTCTGTATTGTCATTTGCATTCTTATTCCATTTGATTCAATACTCAACCCTTGGCCTGTTAAATTTGTGTGAAAGATTTGCCTTTCTTTGAATTCGGAACAGTCCATTCCATGTCAAAGGGATTTCAATATCAAAATACAAAAATTGAGCAACCAATAGTATAGAGGTTGGTCAGACTTCACGGATGTGCTGGCTGACCTGGCTCTATGCTGGTGGCAAAGGCTTATCACTTCTTGTTCTAGCAGGCTTCGGGTTTGAACTTTTCATTTCATGGAACAGAGGGTTTTTATGCTCCCCGAAAAATTTCGGGGGAGCATATAGTCGGCGCCTTGTCCGTCTGTCCGTCTGTCCGTCCGTCCGTCTGTCCGTCCGTCCGTCTGTCCGTCCGTTGTCTTGTCCGGAGCATAACTTGAAAACCCTTGGAGATAATTTGTTGAAACTTCATACAGTGGTAGAGGGCATCGAGGGGGAGTGCAGTGTCAAAGAACCATAACTCTATTTTGCCCAGTTTTTGAATTATCTCCCCTTATAGAAAAATCTTGTCCGGGGCATAACTCTAAAACTATAAGAGATATCAACATGAAACTTTGTAGGTGAATAGATCTCAATGGGTAGATGTGCAGTGCATAAGAACAATAACTCTTTTCATCCTAATTTTGGAGTTATTGCCCTTTGTTAATTTTAATACTTTGAACTTTGTCCGGAACATAACTTGAAAACCCTTGGAGATAATTTGTTGAAACTTCATACAGTGGTAGAGGGCATTGAGGTGGGGTGCAGTGTCAAAGAACCATAACTCTATTTTGCCTGGTTTTTGAATTATCTCCCCTTATAGAAAAATCTTGTCCGGGGCATAACTCTAAAACTATAAGAGATATCAACATGAAACTTTGTAGGTGAATAGATCTCAATGGGTAGATGTGCAGTGCATAAGAACAATAACTCTTTTTGTCCTAATTTTGGAGTTATTGCCCTTTGTTTATTTTAATACTTTGAACTTGAACTTTGTCCGGAACATAACTTGAAAACCCTTGGAGATAATTTGTTGAAACTTTATACAGTGGTAGAGGGCATCAAGGGGGAGTGCAGTGTCAAAGAACCATAACTCTATTTTGCCTGGTTTTTGAATTATCTCCCCTTATAGAAAAATCTTGTCCGGGGCATAACTCTAAAACTATAAGAGATATCAACATGAAACATTGTAGGTAGATAGATCTCATTGAGTAGAGGTGCAGTGCAAAAGAACTGTAACTCTGCCTTGCCTAATTTTAGAATTATTGCACTTTGAACTTTTTCCACGGACATAACTCTGAAACTACAAGAGGTGTACTTTCCTGTGTCCAAAACCTATTCGGGGAGCATCACCCGGCTCAAACCGGGCTCTTGTTTTCTTTTTCTTTCTTTCTTTTTTTTTTCAGTGATACTTATTGTGTTTGCATTGTTTATTAATTGCTAGATATTTTGCTGTAATTCATTTTATTTTTACTGAAAAGTTAAGCTTGAAGTCTTGGTCTTTTTTTCCCCATGAACAATGGGCACTTTTCATAGATTTTTTTTCTGCATGCAATGGACAGTTTTCATTGAGTTTTGCTTGGATTTGTCTTTACAAATTGCATGAATTTCATCATCTTGAAAAATTTTGAATAAAGAATTCTTAAAAGCAAACTTCAGATTTGGATGAAATCTATGTATTAAAAAGATTAAGTAATTTATTTATTTATTTAGAAATGTTTACAGTATTTTTCTTTTTCTTAAGAAATTCTATTCTACTGTTAATTTTGAACCAAAAACTATAAAAGATAACATTGAGGCCATGAATATTTTAGGCAAACTTACATAGGACAAAAATAGGACAAATTTTATACAGGACAAGAATAGAGTCAAACAAATAGATACATGTGTAATTAGGACAAACATAAGATGAAACTTATATAGGCCAAGAATAGAGGCAAGAATGGAATCAAACTTATGTAGGATAAGAATTAATGCACATAATGATAAGAATGGGAATAAAACTTACATTAGAAAAGAATTGGCGCAAACTGTCTTAGACAAGAATATGAGCTAACTAACATAGGATAAGACTAGGGACAATGCAACATAGGCCAAGAATATGGCAAGAATATCAGCAGAGTTACTAAGGACAAGAATAGGGGCAAACTTAACTAGGTGTTGGTATGACAAGAATAATAAGGGCAGCCTAACAAAGTACAATAATATAGTGAAAAGATCAAATCTTAGGACAATAATATGGTCAAACTTAAATAGAACAAGAATAGAGCTAAGTTATGTATATTGTACTTCTTAATTACATCTATGCTCAATTTGTTTTTAAAATACACATACTACATTATAAATAAATGAGGAAATTTGCAGCTTGTAGACAAATATAATAAATGTTAAATATCATTGGATACATCTGCATGTATAATAGTGTTTATTTCCACGATCTCTGATCATATTTTATGTCTGTTTCATATAACAGTCCTGCTTTTACATCAGCTTTATTCTTTTAACCCTAATTTCTGCATGCTTGCCTAGAAGATTTTAAATTATTATTCTTATTTTTCATACAGAAATTCCTTTATTTTATTCATTTCAAGGTTTTAGAAGGTTAACATTAATCTTATATACCTCATTCCTTTGATGATAAAAATTATTCAGATGCTTATTATAGATTTATTACGATGGAGAAGAGGTCAAGGTCAAACTTACAAGGTCATTCATTTTCTGGTGACTGTGAGATAGGGATACATTATCTTGATATATACTTACTTTACAGCGTTGTTACTTAACAAGGTCTCCTGTGTTTTTATGCCCTCAAAGGGAGGCATAATATAATCGTACCATCTGTCTGTCTGTCCATCTGTCCGTCCCTCCGTCCCCACTTAATTCGTGTCCAGACTGTAACTTTGTCATACATTGAGGGATTTTGAAATAACTTGGCACAAATATCTACCTCATCAAGACGATATGAACCACGTCCCTACCTCAAAGGTCAAGGTCACACTATCATTTTGAAGTTTCACATTATCGCAATTAGAGTTAATAGGAACACACATTTGTGTCCGGACTGTAACTTTGTCATGCATTGAATGATTTTGAAATAAGGAAGCATAAATGTCTACCACATCAAGACGATGTGTCGCGTTCAAGAATTATGTCTCTACCTCAAAGGTCAAAGTCACTATATCATTTTGAAGTTTCACATTATTGCAATTAGAGGAAATAGGTACACACATTCGTGTCCGGACTGTAACTTTGTCATGCATTGAATGATTTTAAAATGACAAGGCATAAATGTCTACCACATCAAGACGATGTGTTGCATTCAAGAATTATGTCTTTACCTCAAAGGTCAAAGTCACTATATCATTTTGAAGTTTCACATCATTGCAATTAGAGGAAATTGGTACACACATTTGTGTCCAGACCGTAACTTTGTCATGCATTGAATGATTTTGAAATAAGGAAGCATAAATGTCTACCACATCAAGACGATGTGTCGCGTTCAAGAATTATGTCTCTACCTCAAAGGTCAAAGTCACTATATCATTTTGAAGTTTCACATTATTGCAATTAGAGGAAATAGGTACACACATTCGTGTCCGGACTGTTACTTTGTCATGCATTGAATGATTTTGAAATAAAGAAGCGTAATTGTCTACCACATCAAGACGATGTGTCGCGTTCAAGAATTATGTCTCTACCTCAAAGGTCAAAGTCACCATATCATTTTGAAAGTTCACATTATTGCAATTAGAGTAAATAGGTACACACAATAACTTTGTCGTGCATTGAATGATTTTAAAATGACTAGGCATAAATGTCTTCCAAATCAAGACGATGTGTCGTGTTCAAGAATTACGTCTCTACCTCAAAGGTCAAGGTCACACTATCATTTTGAAGTTTCACATTATCGCAATTAGAGAAAATAGGTACACACATTTGTGTCTGGACTGTAATTTTGTCATGCATTGAATGATTTCAAAATGACTAGGCATAAATGTCTACAACCTCAAGACGATGTGTGGCGTCCAATAACCAGGTCCCTACCTCAAAAGTCAAGGTCACACTCATTCTCTCAGGAAGAGTTTGAAGATACACATTCATGTCTGGAATGTTACTTTGTCATGCATGAAAGGATTTTAAAATAACTTGGCACAAATGTCTTTCACATCAAGACAATGTGTCGCGGCTAAGGCTCATGTCTGTCTGTCCGTGTTCACCCACTTACACAACAATCATGTCCAGACTGTAACTTTGTCATGCATTGAGGGATTTTGAAATAATTTGGCACAAATGTCAATCTCATAAAAACATTTTTTCGCATCCAGGAACCACAAGGTCACACTTATATTTTGAGGGTTCATGTTATCACAATTAGAGATTACTGGTACAATAATACAAAGAACAATATTCAGCAATTAGTTACTTTCATTCTCTTTTCTTTTCATAATACCTACATGCTTAAGAAACCTTTTTGGGGGCATTCGTCACTTGGGTGACAGCTCTTGTTTTTATTTATTTCCATATAAATATTTCTAAAAGAAAAATTGATATTGTGATTTTGATTTTAACTTTTGTCACATGTAAAGCAAATTGTACACAGGTTTTTCAAAAGCCATTAAGACATTGAATTAAGTGGTACACTTGAAATTTAACTTGAACACTGTCACATTGATAAAAATCTTGAATAAAACTATTCACTGACAAGAGATTTATTAATGATCTAATTATCTGACATATAGATTGATTTATTTTGATATTAATATATTTTCAGCTCTATACTGTTTTACTGTTGAGTTATCAACTATAAATATCTACTGTTTACTGATTTATTTAAATTTTGTAAATTTACATTCAAATAAATTTTGTTACTAAAATTGGTTAAAAAAGATGTTTTTCTACACTTTTTGATATTTTTATGTTTTAAAAATCTTTGTAGTTTAAAATCAAAGTATAGTAGTATAATTAACATTCATCTCGAAGAACTGAATAATTCTATTTTTGTCTCAGAATCACTTAATCGAGTAGTTATGTATTGATTGTTTTATTTTCTTTTTAAAGGAACAAAGTTCCCAATCAAGTGGACCGCTCCAGAGGCTGCAATGTATCAGAGATTTACTATAAAATCAGATGTCTGGTCATATGGTATTTTACTGGTAGAGCTGACTACACATGGACAAGTTCCATATCCAGGTAAAATATCACCTATTTCAAAAAATTTAACATATGCTACTTCCGTAGATATTGCATTTTGTTCATTCAGTAGTAAAATGTACAGTTTCCTTTAATTTCTGCTCTATGTATGCATTTGATTAACATTCAGTTTAAACCAGCTATTTAGGCAAAACATTGTTTCCATCAGTCTATTTACAGTATAAAAATCTGGTTAATATTTTGTTAATTATATCGTCAATAGCAGAACAAGTAAATTACTTGTAAAAGAATTGTTTTTATAACATGTATATTAGCCTATACTTGAACAGTCTGAGTAAATTCGGTTTATAAATTTTGAAAAGAAGTTGTATTTGTTTTGATATTGATAACTTAAAAGTGCAATATTTTTCATAGCTATATTTATTACATTTGTTATGATTATGTGTTATGCCTGTATGTTTATATGTCTGTCTATTCATCTGTCTTCTGTATACATGTATATCATTATATATTGCTTGTAAACATTTGACTGTAAAATTTAGATAAGATAAGATAACTCAAGAATGCAGGGAGTTTTAATATAAACAAGTTTAATCTGAATTCATCAACAACTAACAAGTCTATGTTTTGTCACCCCAAAATAAACTTCTTAATATACATGTACAAAAAAAAACATACAAGAATTTCAATAAAAACAATAGCAATGTTCTGAGTTCTTCAAAAAACTATAAGTAAGCTTTTGAATATGCCATAATTAACCTTTTGAAAAAAAAACTTAAGTAAACTTTTGAATATACTAAAATAGAGCTTTGAAATAAACAAAAAGAAAGCTTTTGAATTTACCTAGTATGCTTTTGAATTTACTAACATTAAGCTTTTGAATAAATGACAAGTACTCATCTGAAAATATCAAAAGTATTTTTTTAGTGAACTAAAAGTAAGCTTTTAAGTATACCAAAACTAAGCTTTTAAAGAACTTAAAAGTTAGTTGATGAATTAACAAAAAGTACCCTTTTGAATTTGCTTACAATAAGCTTTTGAATGAATGAAAGGCATCTGTAATTTTTTTAATATATCAAAAGTGAGCTTTTGAATTTACCAGAAGTAAGTTTGATATTATCAAAAATAAGTTTTTGAATTAACCAAAAGTAAGCCTCTGAAATTACCAAAAATAAGTTTTTTAATTTACCAAAGAAAGCTAAAAGTAAGCATCTTAATATACTGAAAATTAACATTTGAATGAAGTTAAGGTAAGCCTCCCAGTAATCTGAAAGTATGCATTTGAATTTGCCAAAAGTAAGCTTTCAAAAAATGAAAATTAAGCATCTGCCATTAATATACCAAAAATAAACATTTGAATACAGTTAAGATAAGCTTTCCAGTATCTAAAATTTACCAGAAGTAAGCTTTAAAGTATTAATTCCATAAGCAGTGAGGTTACAAGCTATTTTGAAGCTACTGTTCATATTGACTGTTGTGTGAACTTCACAAGAAAAAAAAAGGCAACAGAATATCCCAAGCTTTTCGCAGTGTTTGGTATTATTTTGCCAAATTTATCAGTGTGTTTATAATAACATTTTTGTGCTCTAAATATGCTAAAATGTGCCGGTTATGATTGTAGCGAAATGTAAGAGCATGGAGAAGCTTGCTTGAAATAAAAAGGAAAAAGGCAAATAGGCTTATAAGAGTTTTTATGCTCCTTTTTGTGGTGTCATACAGTTGTCCCTTTGTTTTTGAGTAGTTCTGTTGCCCTTTTCTGTTGCCCTTTTTTGACAATTCCTCCTAGCAACTTCATTTACAGACTGATATCTTCCGTATTTTGTAATTTATTTGATCCTCTAAATTTGGGTGAAATTAGCATCACTTGGGTCAAGGTCAATGATTCTAAGAATAGAACATTACACTTTTGCTCATAAACCTTCTGTTCGTTCATTGACTGATGTTGGTTAATACCTTTGGTTGTTTTTAAACTGTGGGCAGGTGGAGTAAGGGGTCACATGTGTCAAGGTCATCAATGCTAAAAATAGAACCATTACATATTCCTATAAATTTTGCATCGAAAAATTTGATCTACAACATTGTTAAGAAAGAAAATTAAAATGGCAGACATGGATGAGTTTGTATAAACTAACATTTTAGAATACCCATCCCCCCCCCCCCAAAAAAAAATAAAACCCCAAAAAACCAATACACATGCACAAAAGTAAAATACAATGGTGTGTTAAAACAAAGAGGAAAAGGGAAAGAGGAGCAAAATATTTGCAATGAGGCAGTAAAGTAATGTATTATGATAATTTCATCAGGGAGTTTGGACACCAGGCTTGCTTTAAGCTTATGAATAAAATATATATACCGCATAAAACAATTGATTACAGGAATGACAAACCGAGATGTGATAGATCAGGTGGAGAGAGGGTACCGACAACCGCGACCACCAGTCTGTCCGAAATCCATGTATGAAATGATGCTGAAATGTTGGGACAAAAAACCCGAAGAGAGACCTACTTTTGAATTTCTCTTTGGTTTCTTTGACGATTATTTCATTGCTACTGAACCAAGCTACAAAGAATCTGATCCTTAGGTATATCATTTCTGCATGCTATATGTTATATTTGACTGAAAGCTTGATTTGCTGCCATACTTTGTGTACATTTCCGATGTTACCTTTTATATTTATGCTTCTTTAGTATTATTTTCAAATTCAAGCTTGAAAGAAGACACTGAAAAAAATTGTAACATTGCATGCTGTGTTACTTTTCCATAAATTCACCATTTTCATTCTACAGTTGCTATGGGAACTGGTTATCAAGCTAAGTTGTAAGGAGTTGTAATATCAGTTGACTGTCTTACATAAATCATCTGCAGATTTGAGTCCCTCCAAAAGTCTGAGTTCTTTAATAGAAAAAAGACTGTATGGCTCATTGAAAATTGGTTCTACACAGTTGCATCTTAAACTTTAAATTGATACATGAAGGTGCAAGGTTTTGTTTTTTTCAATCATTGAAAAAGTATAGAGTCACATGAAGACCTGTGATCATCTCATAATTTCTTGCATATCAGACAGGATTATCTACTGTTTACAATGGTTCTTACCCCCCCCCCCCCATTAAGGACAAGTTGCATGTTTGAATGATGTCATTCCAACTTGTCTTTTATGAATGAACTGCATTCTTAATATGACATCATTTTGCCGTTATGAATGCAGTTGTAAACTCATACACTACTTAAAGAAAAAAAGTGCTAAATGAAAATATTAGTTTTCGTAATTTCTTTTCGAAAATATCATAAATTTGTAATATGCAAGAAAAATAATCAAACACTTGCTGTCATAACAGACAGGAATATCTAGCTCTCGGGTAACTGTTTACCGGAAACTTGCTGAAACTTGGCAGAGCCGTGAACTATCAACCTCAAGCTAGATAATCCAGTCTTATGCAGCAGTGAAGATTTATACTTTCATTATACCGTAATGTGAACTCAGACAGTGGTATATAGATTTATCTTTATTATCATTGTATATGAGCCGTGTCATGACAAACAATAATATTTGCGACCAGCATGGATTAGAAGCCGCGCATCGGCAGTCTGATAGGAGCCATGTTGCTTACAACTTAACAATTAGAGAAAATGCTACGAAGATGATTTTGATCAACTGCGCGTACGAGCTGGTCTATCCATGTGGTCGGAAAGCACTAAGTGTTGTACGGCTCTAATTATGATTATTGTTTTCTAGGTATGTCAAACCGTGAAGTGTTAGAACAGGTACCACGTGGCTACCGGATGCCTCAACCGGAGAAATGTTCTGACCACATGTATGAAATTATGTTGAAATGCTGGGACAAGAAAGAAGAACTAAGGCCAACATTTGAATATCTATGGACATTTTTCGATGACTATTTTGTTTCCACAGAACCAAACTACCAACAATCTGATTAAAAGGTTCTCTAGAATAAACATTTGAATGTGTCTTCATAAAGATATCTTTTTTTCTTATCGTAAAAGACTTATATATTTTTTTAGTACAAAACCAAAAAGATTTGTCTGTCTCTGGTTTTTGGATAAATCCCTAGATCATTATTGCTTATTCATTTTTCACCATTTTTCCTGCTGAATAAAGTGATTTCATGAGAAGAATTTCTCCTATTTTGTATGTAGGATTGCACATAATGATTAAATGGATTTTAATATTTGATATTGGTGACCTAGGAAAGACATTTTTGCATTCACAAAGTAAAACATTTTATAGTAACTTTAAAAATATAATGTACTTTTTTTAAGTTAAGATAAAAGAAGGCTATTTGGTGTTTCAAATGGAAGCCAGTGACAAACATTTTGATAAAAATTTTACCTTAAACTGCTGAATTTCTTAAGAAATGATCAATTTTGGGGATATCAAGATGAAAATTGAAATTTATCAGCCGACAGTTTAGAGCCTGGTCAGACTGTATGGATGTCAAGGCTGGCCTGGCTCTATACTGGGGGGCAAAGGCTGTGGTCACGTCCGATTTCAGCAGTGTTATGAAAAATTCTATTTGGACAAAATTTTGGTAGAACATCTTTTTTTTCTTTGTCTGTATTAAATATATGTATAACTAGTGCATAAGATAAAAGGTAATCTTTTTATATGTTTAGTCTGCATTTACAAAAGTTTTTTTTGTTATTTTTTTTTTTCTCAATTCAATGTTGGTCGAAAAATAGGGCAAATACAGTTGCACGATTAGAATGTAATACATAGTTTCATGTTAATTTTTATCTGATTTGAGTATATTTACAGATAAACATTTACATTGAATTCTTTTTTGAATTCATTAGAGCATCATTTACACATGTTATTTAATATAATTGAACAAATTATATAGATATATTTTTATATCAAACTTACAAATTATCTTCTTTTTTCGAGAAATGTTGACCTATTCATTGATATATTTCACTGTTTTATTGATACATTAATGAAACATTTAGACTTGTATATCTCCTTGTAAAGCACTGCGAAACTGGTCTTTAAAAAAAACAGGTACTTTTTACCTAGCTGGATAGTTCCTAATTTAGCAGTCTCTGGAAAGTCAGATACGTTCGCTCACTGCCCTTGCTAAATAGTAGCAGGTTTACAATTTTTTTGACAGCATTCTCTACTGGAAAAGCTGATACTTATTACCAGTACATGTATGTCAAAGTAGCTTTTAGGGGAAATGTGCAGCAGCTTTGATAAAAACAGCCATCATGACCTGCCCTTAGTAACTGCAACAGATATGCTTATAATTGTTATAACTCTTGAGGACTGTTATTTTATTTCTAAGTCATGTTGATAAAGATTCTTCTTTTGTATGTTGCCAAGTAACATGTCTAGATGTATCAATATTTTCCTTTAGTGACTTCTTAATATTGTTTTCACAAAATCAAGTGCTAGGCCCTGTGACAATTGAAACTGATTCTATGTGGATTTTTCAGAAATTAACGATGTTTTATAACGTTAAGAATTTGAGCATTGCATATGAAAAGGTACCTGTTATTATATTTGATAAGTTATCTTTATAACTATAAAGATAAATATCTTTATACATCAAACAATTCCAATCATAACTCCCTCCTAATTCTTTTAATGGACTTGTCCTATTTTGAATTTGGAACAGTCAATTTTGAGTGTAAGAAAAATGTTATAACAAAGTGCTAAAATTATGAAGCCAGCAGTATAGTGGCTGTTCTAACAGCCTTCATCATTGAGAGTGTCAGTTTGTGTGTTGCCATGTCCTTCATTATATTTGTATATTGTATTATTTTTGAGAGAAGAATGTTTAATATATGTATATATTTGTGTTAACAGATAGCTATTATATTATTAAAAATATAAATTTTGTACTATTTTTTGAAAAAATAGGATAGTTGTTAAAAACTTTGTTACATAGAATTTTAATATACATGTATATGGCCAGTTCGTGCCATATTTTGAAATAGCTTCTATTTTCTTGTTTCCTACAAAAGCTTCATTTTCATAACCTATATATATATGCCACACTTGTATATATACATATTTGTATAATTATGTAAATGGATAAATTTAACAATTTATTATGTGATACAAATCTTAAATGATTTGAGCCGTGTCACGACAAAACCAACATAATGGGTTTGCGACCAGCATGGATCCAGACCAGCCTGCGCATCTGCGCAGTCTGATCAGGATCCATGCTGTTCGCTTACAAACCCTATAACAAGTAGAGAACCTGATAGCGAACAGCATGGATCCTGATCAGACTGCGCGGACGCGCAGGCTGGTCTTGATCCATGCTGGTCGCAAACCCATTATGTTGGTTTTGCCGTGACGCGGCTCATTTTTTTTGTCTTACATAACTTCAGGAAGATCAATGTTGCTACAAGTGCAGATACCGTATTGTTTTCTATAAAAAAAAAATTAAATTTTGGGACCTGTAATTTTTCAAGAGTGCAACTTGTGAAATAGGAAAAGGTACTTCATGTAACCACTAAATATGCCATCATATTTATACAGCTTTTACAGATATGGTTTTTGGTGTTAAATGTTTCATGTTTTAGTTATTGGCAGTTTTATTGAATGTATATGTCATAATTGAGGGGACTAATATTTCATAATTAAATTAAGTAATAGTGGTGATATATAATAAATACCCTGCATTTCCTTATTATTGAATTTATTTACTTGTTTTGTGGATTGTATAAAAAGATATGAAAATGCCCTGAAAGGACCCAAAGAGGTGGAAATTTGAGGGGAGCTTTTATATGAAACAATACGGTAGATACAGAATCGGGTACAGTAGTTGCATGTACATGTATATCAAAGTCATTGTACAGTTATATCTCTTTTAGTATCAAATTTTTGAAATAAATTCTTGTATTGTTAATGAAGTTATTTGATTTTTTAGAAATCTCCGTTAATTGTCATATAATAAAAAAATTAGCAAATGTCGTGACCTTAGTGCAGTAACAGGTTAAATCCTTCTTAATTTAATAGGAGTTAACCAGTTATTGCACTAAGATGACAATATGTGTATAATAAATAAGTGGTGAATGTTTATTTTTGTACACAGAATCCATGATTCATACATTGTTATGTAAATATTCACTGTTGAACCATCAATTACAGTTTACTAATTGACCTGAACTGCGTAGGCTACTATGATTTCTGCAGGATAGCTATAAGTAGAGAGTTATTCATTGTTTTGCGCTGTTCATATTAGACTTTGTACTAACAGTTATCAAGAAGTCATAAAATGTGCTGGGCACAGTCACGTTTGTACTTTTATATAGATGTTTTTTGTCTTTTTACAATATATTTACCAGTTTAATGAATCCTAGATAAACATGATTCTATTTTGTGTTTGTTTGTTTGTTTTTTTAGAATTATGTGACTACATTTTTTAGAGAGAATTCCAGATATAGTTATGTAATAAAACCAGAAATTTTCAAGGTAGATTTTGCCATGTACTAGTTATAAAAATATAACAAAATGTTATGACTTTACTGCGTCAAACTTCCTTATTGAACCATTTTTATGTGCTTCCAAAATAAATATTTTCATTATTGTTTGTATCTGATCGGGACAATCATTTCCTGTATTTGTTTTGCAGACTGCTGCACCATCTATGTAATCATGCAAGGGAGATAATTTATAACTTAAAATCTTTCGAATTTAAGACAGCTTTATAAATGTAGCTTGTTAGAGAATCTATTTTTAGCAACTGAAACATACATACCGGTATTTTGTTATTTAGTTGTGACGTGTCATGTGAAAGATACTAGTGTTGAGTATTATCTCTATTATTTCCCTTGACAGTAAGGGACAAATTAGAATAAACCAATCTCATATTACAATAAGTTAAAATTTATTACAATTAATTTTGGTCAGAAAAAAACCCTCGGTCAAAAAAATGTACAATGATTGACAAGATTTTTTTATTCTGTTATTAAAGATAGAAAAAAGTTTATTAATAACAGAATAAAAAAAGTTTACATATATGGTATTTGAATACCAGTTACAAACAAATCCTTCATTTATGATGTTGTTTATGTTATTAAAAACAGGTAAATACCTATCTTGTTTATGTTATTGAAAATACCTAAATATAGCATAACTGGTTTCTGTTCACATGATGTGTCACATTGACATTGATTTAGATTCATGTTGCTATTCATTCATTTCATATATAGCTGAATTTCATAACAAAATATCATTCACCATAGCTCATAAACTTAAATACCAAGTTATTTGTTTCTGCTTAAATTTCATAGATGCCGGTTGCCACAGTTATCGGATGTTTTTGTTTGTTTTTGTATTTTTTTTCCTTCCAGTGTTCTCTTTACATTCCATTATTATTGAGTATAATTCTATGTTAAAATCTGTATTGATTTTTGTACATCCGTCATATTTCCTGTTGAGCCAGTGCTACAAAAATAAACTTGTTATACATCATTAATGATAAACAAAAACACAATGATAATTGTTGACCATTCCAAAAGCAAAATCGCGAGATAATTTATTTTCATTACTTGCAACTGGTTACTGCCCATGAAATGAAATTATCATAAGAAATAATTCATACAAAGTTTATTTACTATAAATTCAAAGACACATGCTTATGATGAACAAAATGAAATTATGCTATGAAATAATGCACACAAAATATGATTATTTTATAAAATTATGCAAAGAGAGGCAACTGTGACCTTTACCTTCACCAGTAAATGCTGGAAAGTCAAAGTACTATGACCATTACAATGTTGCCATGACAACAGACAAGACATAAAAATAGACATGTTATATATGGGTGTAAATATTTAGATTTTTGTAACGATATTTAAAATCTAATATCTTGTTAACTTGGAATGTGAGTCAGGAAAATTGAATGATACTAAAAAAAACAAGGCATCTAAATACATCATGTAAGGATTATTTTATGTGCTATAACATTTTAAGAATGAACAAACTTATTTTACTAATACTTGGATGGTTGGCAATAAATGTGGCCTGTAACATTAAAGCTCAAAAAATATACAAGGTTTATAGGTTTTTACAGATTATTATATAATATAATGTGATCAGAGATTGTAGTTAGTTACTACTTTACCAGTAACAGTGAACAAAACATTTAACCATGCATGAAATGCCATTAACTTTACTATTTCATCCTCTTTTTTTACATCAGTATTGATAAAAATTGTAAATAAAATCAACATATATAAACTGTTATTGTTTTGATCCATGATCCAGAAAGAGTTCAGACAATTCTGATATATAAACCAGTGTCATTTTACCCCAGAGTCAAGAAAATGCTGATATATTATACAAACAACTGTCGTTCCACTCCAGAGTTAAATCAATTCTGATATATTGTACAAACAACTGTCGTTCCACTCCAGAGTTCAATCAATTCTGATATATATTATACAAACTATTGTATTCATGCTTCAGAGTTCATACAATTATGATATACAAACCAGTGACGTTTTACTCCAGAGTCAAGAAAATGCTGATATATTATACAAACAACTGTCGTTCCACTCCAGAGTTAAATCAATTCTGATATATTGTACAAACAACTGTCGTTCCACTCCAGAGTTCAATCAATTCTGATATATTATACAAACAACTGTCGTTCAACTCCAGAGTTCAATCAATTCTGATATATTATACAAACAACTGTCGTTCAACTCCAGAGTTCAATCAATTCTGATATATTATACATACAACTGTCGTTTCACTCCAGAGTTAAATCAATTCTGATAAATTGTACAAACTACTGTTGTTTATCTGGTACCCAGAGTTTAATCAATATTTATAAAATATATATGGCGCTATAGCTCAAGTAATAGCGATAAGTGGCACGATAGCTCAGTTGGTTAGACCACTGACTGTCACTCCTAAGGTTCTGTGTTCGATCCTGGGTTACACCTTGGGATTTTTTAGAAACACTATCAGTTTTTCCCACCTACCTAGAGGTATACTGGTACGAAACCCATGTAATCCTCACATGTATCGGTGCTATACAGTGGGCAGGGATCTATTCAATAAGAGCTAAGGACTGGTTCCCAGATTCCCTTGTATCTCATAGCTGTCTCTAGTGTCTGCTGAGGTGAGGACCCTACTGGAAATAAGTGCTTGCACTTTCGTAGGCTATCCTTGACTGCCTGGTCTAAACAAAATCATCATCATCATATTATACAAACCAAGAATTCATATAAATCTGGTATATATTTACACAAATCATTGTTGTTTTTTTATCCGCCGCCGAAAGGCAGTGGGGGATAAAGAAATAGTCTCTGTCCGTCTATCCGACATTTTTGTTCAGAGCATATCTCAAAAAGTATTTAAGGTATCAACATGAAACTTCATAGGTGGATAGATCATATTGAGGAGGAGTGCAGTGCACAAGAATGATAACTCCACCCTGCATAATTTTTGAGTTATTGCCCTTTGTTATTTTTCAAACTTAATTTTTGTCCAGAGCATAACTCAAAAAGCCTTTGAGATATCAACATGAAACTTCATGGGTGGATATATCTCACTCAGGAGGTGTGCAGTGCACAAGAATGATAACTCTACCCTTCATAATTTTTGAGTTATTGCCCTTTGTTATTAATTTTTCACCTGAGTGAAGCATAACTCAAAAAGTCATTGAGATGTCAACATGAAACTTCATAGGTGGATAAATCTTATTGAGGAGGAATGCTGTTCACAAGAATGATAACTCTACCCTTTATTATTTTTTAGTTGTTGCCCTTTGTTATTTTCATACTTTATCTCAAAAAGTGTAAGAGGTATCAACTTGAAACTTCATAGGTGGATAGATCTCATTGAGGAAGAGAGCAGCACACAAGAATGATAACCTACCCTGCATTATTTTTGAGTTATTGCCCTTTGTATTTTCAGCCATCAGTATTCACATAGGTTTCAAATCTGTAATCACTTCAGCCATCAGTTTTCATTACCAAAAGACCTCTTTAGATTGAATTATTCTGCTCTACTACATATACATTCTTCCAATGAGCAAACACATTTGGCGGGGGATGGCCATGTTGACATGGCTCTTGTTCTCCTGGGTCCAAAAATTGCAGATATACAAACATCTTTTAACTCCAGAGTTCAGACAATTCTGATATATTATACAAACTTCAAAAAGCCTTTGAGATATCAACATGAAACTTCATGGGTGGATATATCTCACTCAGGAGGTGTGCACTGTGCACAAGAATGATAACTCTACCCTTCATAATTTTTGAGTTATTGCCCTTTGTTATTAATTTTTCACCTGAGTGAAGCATAACTCAAAAAGTCATTGAGATGTCAACATGAAACTTCATAGGTGGATAAATCTTATTGAGGAGGAATGCTGTTCACAAGAATGATAACTCTACCCTTTATTATTTTTTAGTTGTTGCCCTTTGTTATTTTCATACTTTATCTCAAAAAGTGTAAGAGGTATCAACTTGAAACTTCATAGGTGGATAGATCTCATTGAGGAAGAGAGCAGCACACAAGAATGATAACCTACCCTGCATTATTTTTGAGTTATTGCCCTTTGTATTTTCAGCCATCAGTATTCACATAGGTTTCAAATCTGTAATCACTTCAGCCATCAGTTTTCATTACCAAAAGACCTCTTTAGATTGAATTATTCTGCTCTACAACATATACATTCTTCCAATGAGCAAACACATTTGGCGGGGGATGGCCATGTTGACATGGCTCTTGTTCTCCTGGGTCCAAAAATTGCAGATATACAAACATCTTTTAACTCCAGAGTTCAGACAATTCTGATATATTATACAAACTTCTGTTGTTTTACTTGAGAGTCTGGAAAATGCTGATATATTATCAAAACCACTGTCATTTTACTTCAGAGTCAAGAATAGGCTGATCTGTTATACAAACTGCTGTTGTTTTGATACAGAGTCTGGAAAATGCTGATAAATTATGCAAACTCCAGATCCAAAACAATACTGATATAATAGACAACAATTGCTGCAAGAGTTAAGAAATGTTGATATATGTCAAGGGGTAAGAAAAATGTGCAGCTTGACCGGGATCCTCGGAATACCGTACCATGGCTCTACGGACTGAGCTATCCGGCCGCTTACACATCTCCCCTTAATAGTGAATAGTCCAGAACCGTGACATACTCCCATGCTATATTTGTCCTCGAATTTCACAGTTACAGAGCAATGCGAATTAAACTCAGCTATATACAGTCACAGTCCTCTGTTGGGTGCCAAATATCACAGGGTAAAAAATGTGCAGCCTGACCAGGACTCGAACCCCGGATTCTCAGAATACCATACCGTGGCTCTACCGACTGAGCTATCCAGCTGCTTACACATCTCCCCTAAATAGTGAACAGTTCTGAACCATGACATATATCTTCTTCTTGCTTTAATTCAGACTTAAGACAATAGTGATATATCATTCAGACTATTGTTGTTTTACTCCAGAGTAGACGATATTGATATCTTATACAAACTATTATTGTTTAACTCAGTACAGAAAATGCTAATAAATTTTACAAAATGATAACAGAAACCCTAGTTGTTACGCCCCCACAAAGTGGGAGCATATAGCATTGCACTTGTCTGTCCGTCCCGAAATCTTGTCTCTTAAACTGGTTGGCAGATTTTGCTTAAACTTCCAGAGATGAACAACCTTAATGTGTATATGGTAGTAAAGGAAGGAATTTTCGCTGCGACCAAATTTAACATAATTATGGCCCTTTGTTGATTTTTTCACTATATACTATGTAGAAATTATGTGAACGCAACTCCTCTTAAACGGGATGGCAGATTTTGCTTAAACTTCCAGGGATGAACAACCTTAATGTGTAGATGGTAGTAAAGGAAGGAATTTTCGCTGTGACCAAATTTAACAGAATTATGGCCCTTTGTTGATTTTTTAGTTTTCAACTTGTGGCACATGTAGTCCAAAAAATGTTTGACCTAGAATCATAAGATTGACAGAACAGTGGCGTGTGGGGGCATCCGTGTCCTATGGACACATTTCTAGTTTTGTTCTAAATTCCAGTCAATACTTACATACACGTATATTATATACAAATCAATGATTTTTTTTTCTCCAGTTAGACTAAACCAAAATACAAAACCATTTTTCTTCAAATTCTTCCATCAGTATAGGATTTATAGAGCGGACACCACATAATGTTTAATATTTGATTGTATGAAAATTTGAAGACTAGACTTAAAAAGGGGCATAACTTTGTCAAAATGAAATACAGAGTTATGAAACTTGACCTGCATATCTTAATTGTGACAATTCATATAAATTTTAAGTTTCAAGCATATACCTTCTCTAGTTTCAGAAATATTCAAATACATGTTAAAATTTAAGAATATTTTCTAAGTCAATTTTTGACCTTCAAGTGTGACCTTGACCTTAAACCGACAAAAGGGTAACATGGGTTCTGCACATTACCTTGTTGAGGTGAACATTTGAGCCAAGATTGAAGAAAATCTTTTAATTAGTGTAGGACTTACAGAGCAGACACAACATACTGTTTAATATTTGATTGTTTGATATTTGACCTTCAACTGTGACCTTGACCTTGAGCTGACACATGGGCAACATGGGTTCTGCACTTCCCCTTGTTTAGGTGAACGTTTGAGCCAAATTTGAAGAAAATCCTTCAATTGGTATAGGATTTATAGAGCGGACGCAATAATGGAGACGGACCGACAGACGCGACAAAGCGAATCCATTATAGCGCCCCCCCCCCCACATTTTGTGGTGGGGGTATAAATATAGGAAAATAGAATTTAAAATTGAAATAAAACATCTTTCTATTTGAATGTTCAAACTACTCATACTCGTAGCCATTTCTGATATCGATAAGCGCTTTTAATGTAATGTAAGTCCAGGGCTTGAGCTGGGTCAAAATTTTAGGGAGAAGTGACTTCTCCCTCCAGCTGATTTAGGGAGAAGTGAGGAGACTTAAGGGAGAAATTGGGAGGCATGTTAGGCGACATCTGGAGAATTATAAGCTATGAAACTTTACCATACAAGAAATAAAAAACACCTCAAATAAAACAATTCTTTTTTAAATCTACTTTTCATAAATGTATACCAATAACAAACACAATATTTACATATACTGTATACATGTAGTGAGTAACTATGTTTAGTTGGTAACAATATTCATGGTAGATAAAGCAACAGGCAAAGAGTCCGACTGGTCAGTGTCTATAACTTTCGTTTAGTGATTTGCCCACAAGCCAGGATGTTAGAGACATTTAATTTATTATAATCAGAGTGTTAACTTTATGGAGTTCAATGTATTAATGAATTGTGTAAAGTGTCAAGCTGATAGGAAGATAAAGTGCGCAAATAAAATTCAAGAGACCAAAGGAACTGTAACAATCGGAAAAGATTTGAGGCTGTCTACGAGAATTTTTTTCTTTTTTCTAAATTTCGTTAAAAAAACAACAACAAAAAACGTAGGGTAGGCGGCAAAAAATAGGGTCGGTCGGGTAGCGTTAACAAGCAATTTCTTTTTCTTGGCCTTATACAACAATGCTGGAAGTTCTTATTTCTTCAAAGTGAAGTTCAAAATAAAACTTAATTTTTTATAAAACCAGAGACTCGGTCATCTTGTAGGTATCCTGAGGTCATCTTTGATATCAATTTGATTTCTTTTTGTGAGTTATAAAATAGTGAAATATTATTTCAAAGGAATAAATAGCCGAGTTCAGTTTATATGGATATCACAGTCTGAAGGCATTTATATTCAGATTAATGAAACAATAACAAACTCTTTATAATATTTCAAATATTAATTTAATCTACAAGAATGAACAGATGTGTACAAACTGTAACATACATGAACAGTATCAACTTTACATAACATGATAAAAAGACCCAACAAACAATGGTGTATTGTTTTACTCCTATACAAAACAGTGGTTGGAAAGTGTAAGAAAATATTCCCTCTATTTTGCATTGAAAGGGCATTGCTTGGTGTCCTTGACATTTTGCATTGAAGGGCATTGCTTGGTGTCCTTGACATTTTGCATTGAAGGGCATTGCTTGGTGTCCTTGACATTTCTGTGAACTGACACTGCATTGACACGGCATCATACTAGTATATATTTATCTAATCAATTAAGCTCACACTTAAATTCCCTTAACGGCACTATACAAATGTTACATTGCTCAAAGTGATCATCAAAAATTCAATAATACGATAAATATTTTATGATAATTACATGAAAACAGTACTAGTACTAGCATTGATTTTAATGTCAAAGAAGAGAAAACACAGATCCAGGAAAACAAGTTAACAGATTTTTTTGATTTTTTTTGATAAATAAGTATAGTTTTTGTTGAATTTGTACAGTATTATATGAAAACTGTTCATTTAAACATCATATATTTGTTTCAATAGATGAAATTTTACAATTAAATTGCAGCAGAAGTCATATTGTCACCTTAGTGCAATAACTGGTTAACTCCTATTTAATTTAGGACTTAATTAACCTATTACTGCACTAAGGTGGCTTTATAAGCATTTAGTATACTGTTAACAATATAATTAACTTTTAAGCAATATACAGCATGTGGTTACAATCACTTAAAATGTGACCTTTGCATTAAGCTCAGATGAAAGTAAATTTGTGTGCACACTGTTCAATGATCACAGAGACTTTAAATAAATGATGGATAAGAAGAAATGGGGTTTCCTCATGGTAACTGACTACTTTTCTTCACACATGTTTTTCTTCATCTAGAAAATCTCCTGTCGAACATTGACAATAGAAATTATTCCCTATCTACCCTTTTCTATCTTCCTTAGGGTTTTAAGGAATTCCACTGAGGTTCAAAAGCCTAATAACAGATAGTTTGAATTTCTTACATAGATCAACTGGGTCACTTAAACAGAAAGATATTCAAAAGAAAATAAAGAATTATACTTAGACATACATTGAAAATTGTACCTTAGTGCTAATATTAGCTGGATTTATGTATCGCTTTTCAATTGGGTCATTTTTCACGATATGAATAATGAAATAATATTCTGGATAAACAGAGTGAGAAAAGGAGCTGTAATGTTGCACATAAATTATTGGTCTAGATCTATTTCATTTGGAATATTAATTAAGGCAATTTATTTCCAGTAATGCCATGTCAAGAAACCTCAGTGGAGTCCCTTTAAAGTTACAATTTTTTAAACAACAAGGCCATTTGGCATTTGACCTTTTCATTCATACATGGCATGTCCCCATTTTCTCCAAACATGATTATATACATACATAACTAGTGAAAGGTGGCCAATCAAGTTTAAGATAAAAACAACCTTGTCATTAACTCATATGGAGGGAAAAAAATATATTTAACATTTTTAACAGTGACTTAATGAGTACTATCAATAGTACTTACTATCAATAGTTTAAACTATCAAACTTTACATCTTGTACAAGAGGCTATAATGTCCTTCATTTGCTCTTTCCAGTACAGTCAAAGAGTAACTGTCTAATATAGAGCTAAATCCATTTTATTAACAATAAATTCTGGTGAGGCAAGTTCATTTACTATAAGAGACGTTTACCAAACTGCCAGTACTAGATGATAATTTTCCTTTCTACTAAATATTTTCTTAAATTGAGCAAGAAATCTAAACAATTGTCTTTCAATTCATAAGTTTCTTGAGCATAAAAAATAACAGTTTGAAGCAGCATGTTTCCAGATTTGACTTAATGTTTTATGAAAATGTTGTAAATTATTTCAAGTGAATAAAAATATTGTCGAGTATTCAAATTAAGTGACTTAACCTAGCCTTACACACTAACTTTTCCAAGAAATTATCTACAATTAGGGTCAAATATTAACGATTTTCCCTTATTCCATTATTAGAATTATGGGGTAGAATTCTGGTGACATAGACAGTAAATTATATCATATTTTGTTTAAAACATTCAAAATTTCGCCCATATTGTGAATACCTATAAATTTCTTAAACTATAAATATATTTTTTTTCAAGTATGATCTTTGGAGGATTAATTCAACTTGTTAGGAGGCATGCCACATTTAAATTCAAACAAACCAGTGCAGTGTTTTGGCTTAAATATGACTGACCACCTTCCCAGGATTTTGAACATTTTTTTTTGCTTTAATTTACAAATCAACAAAAATACATCAAAATATGGATTTTTAATCAAAACATAATAACATCAAAGATAAAATACAAAACGAAAATGTAATTTTAATACAAAACATGCAAAAATATAGAGAAAAAACAACATAGCACAATCATATAAAAATACACAAGAAGAAACTTCAGAAAAAAAAGTTCAATCTTGTTAGAATACATAGATGTAACGCCATCTTATAAATCAAAGAAGTTTTTAATTACTTAATTATGTAACGAAATTTCATGAGAAAAATGAATGAAATTTCAAAATTATGCTACCAGGATACACAATTTTATTCTAGTTCACTACAAAAATATTTCATACCTAATAAGTGTATCAACTATGAGTCTATGAACTAAACAATTCAATGTAATTATTTCAATTATGCCCTTATACTTATAGAGTAAGTTTGACATATGCGTCTCCAGGGCATATTTACGGTAAATACGGTACAGGTAAATTATTTTGCTTTATCAGTACGGAGTGACAGACATAAAACAGAATTAATCTATCCACCTGATAACACATGACGGAGATTACTCACCTTGTCCTAAAAATAAACCCCCAACCAGTACAGTCAGGGGCACATGACATTATCATTATTAAACCACAATGATTTATCTTAAGTGTGTTTGATATTAAATAAACCGATAAGTGGGACATCTCTAACTTATGGAACATTTCATATGATAAACAATTTAAATTTTACTAGTAAAAAAAATGTTGTATTTTTTTTATTATTTACAATGACTCGGTACTTATTTATATATATACAATGAAGTGTTATCACAAGATAATAAAAAATATCTTTGCTAATACACTGTTAGCTGTTTTGGTTATCATTATACAATAACTTCATATATATTCATGATGAATATATCTGCAATTTGATCTGTTCAGTGGTTTCAACATCTAACTTATTGATCTAATATTCTGTGTAACATGCAAGTGTATCCTGGTACAGAAACTGATAGTGTTAGAGTTATTTAGGGAAGGACAAGTGTTACACTATAACAAGTGTAGCTATACAATCAGGAAGTATTCCTGTATGTTTGCAATCAAAGCAGTTTTCAGAAAATAAAATTTCATTTCCTGATCTCTTTTTTGGTTGTAATATTGTTGGTTAGGACTTGGGCATTATTTCTTAAAAATTTTCAGTTACATTCTTTTTGTGTGCAGTTCTATTATTCCATGTAGGTGTAGTGTAGTTATTCAATTGTCTCCTTCACTTAAACCTAATTGTTTAATAGTTCTTGTGTTGCTGTAAATAGTTCTTGTGTTGCTGTAAATAGTTCTGGTGTTGTTGCTGATAGTTCTTGTGTTTGTTTTTTTTATTTCTCTACTGAATCTATTACAAACCACACAATGACTATAAATTCAATAACAGATTTGATTCAGAGAGAGTGCAATCAAATCAATACCAAGAAAGATCTTAAATCAAAGAAGAGGTTCACACACACTTCTTTCAGTAGATAGTCGAGAGATAATTAATGTTTTAGGTTGGTTTAGATTATCTCCATTACATTCACATGGAAAGAAGTCTACCACCAGTGCTAAGACTGTTATATTTCAAGTTCAATGTACCACAAACATTTACAGATCTGGTATGGAATGGTCCATGAATTTTTTCACAATGCTGTTACCCATACTGAAAAAAAACAAAACAAAAAGTTAAGGATCTATTATCATAAAACATTAATGACATTTTTTTTTAAACTGACCATTTATTTTAGAAATGTTCAAAAACAATTATTTTAGAAATGATTAAAACAATTATTTTAGAAATGTAAAAATACTTATTTTAGAAATGGTTAAATAACATTATTTTAGAATTATAAAAAACAACATTTTTTTCAGAAATGATTGAGACATTTATTTTTTGTAGAATATTAAGATATACAGATTAAGGCCAATTATTTTCTCCAAGTATGTCTCAAATTCTCTGAGGGTTTATCATATTATTATATTTGTATCATATTATATTATAGAACTAATTTAATCAATTGCAGGAGACAAAGCATTTTCCTTAGAAACACAACAGAGAACTCAGCAAACATGTAGTTTTGTTATGCTATATTTATGCTCATGTTTTCTGTATATCAATATAAGCTGTTGACTGTCACATCATGAGAATTGAAATAGCTTTGTAATGTTACAAAAAAAACAACAACAAGAGTTCATTGAGGACTTACCATTTGACAATATGGTCATATATAACTGAAGGCATCACTGTGATGGTGATAGTACGTCCACCTGCTTCCATTATCTCACTGATTACCTTATCCTGTAAGTAAAATTATACTTCAAATTCATCCTGATCATCCTAAATATTTGTAATGGACTTGCTCTGTTTTGAATTTCAGAACAGTCCATTGTGATTTATAGGGAAACTAATAAAACCTACATGCTGGCCTGGCTTATACTGGTGACCATGACAATTCACTATTGATGTAATTAGACAAATGAATATGAAACTAAAATCAGTCCTTTATTTGTCTTTGTAGAAATAATATACTTCTTAAATATAGATAAATATGAACACTCAAATATGTACGGAACTCAATAAGCTCAACAAATTTGACCAAATACAAAATTGAAGCATACAGGTCTTTTATGTTACCAATCAAGCATTTTTTCTTCTCTTAATTACAAGGATAAGAGAACAAAAATCCTTGCCCATGAGGTAAATTATTTTTTTCAATGCTTACCTTAACACCAACAACATTCTGACCGTTGACCTCAATCAACTGATGCTCAGTTAACACACCATTCCTTGCTGCGGATGAATCCTTCACTAGAGACTTGATTTTACCATCCTTGAACACAAACCCGATGTAACCATTACTGTCCTTCTGCATTGTGATGGTCCTTTCAAATGGTCTAAAATGAGAAAATAAACATCAGTTTATTTACATAACATTCATTTAAGGTGTTGCAATGTATTATGTACAATTGTATATCCAAACAAATGGTGATACAATCAAAGCCATACAATTTGTTATAAAAACTCTGTTTTAATATATTAATGATAAATCACCTAAAATAGGCAAAAAATTCTGAATTTTTACATTAAATCACTAAAACATCATACCCTACAAAATCAAAACAGCCTAAAATCAAGATCAGCTTCTTATAGAATCTTTTTCAATATTATTTGACATTATATTTAATAATATCTACATGTACCAATATTTTGGAATGTCTAATACAATACGCTCAGCACAAATTTTGCCTTATTCAAGATACCACTGTTAACAATTTTTTAATGGGTGTCTGCAAAGAAAAGACTAACTTCCCCTGTGATCTGCGGTGTCCTGTTGTTTCAACTACAGACTGAAAACCGATGACTGCAATCATATTATCTGTAAAATCAGTCATCCAAATTTTTGAAAATATTACAATTTTCTAACACACTGCTACTCACCTGTCTCTAACAGCAAACGAAATCCTGTCTCCACTAGCCTGTTTAAGCACCTTGTGAGCCTTGTCTGTATCCCAACCAGCAACATTTTGGCCGTTGATCTGTAAAATTTGGTCCCCAAACCTGAGACCTGCAAGAGCGGCTGGCGAGTTCTGCTGTACCAGAGCCACAAACAAACCCTGGATATAAGAAAACATATTTGGTTACATAAACAGATTCTTTTGAATGTATTTGTTTGTCATATACTTTTACAAACTTTTTAAATATGATTTTGTTGAAAGAAATTTAAGTTACTATTCATATTGTTTATTGAAAGAATGGCTAGTTTATATCACAATAAAACGCATCAATGAGATTAGTTTTTAAAAAAAATATATCTTTGCCAAAAAAAAGCAACAAAAAATGCCGGTTTAAAGTTCGGGCTGAAAGAGTATAGTATGTAAAAACTCACATTGTTAACATGTCTGATACGCAGTCCAATTTTCCCTTCACCATCTTTGCAAGCAACAATTTCTCTGATTCCTTGCTTGATTTCAGCTCTCATGATTCCTGTATTGTTGCCACTTACAGGGGCTACTTGCATGTTGCTGGGCCGTGTCTGTGGTATAGCAACTTGCTGATCCTGTAAAAGTTAAAAGGCAGGAAAAATATTAACTTTATCCCATAGCCTGTTGGAAGTTTCAGATATTACCAATGTCCATGCCTTCCAATCATGGTTTGCACTTTTCACAAATCAGTCTGTACATCTTCAATTTCATTTTTTCCCTAGAAATGATGAGTGGTTTGGTCTGGGTATGAAAGATGGACCAGTCCATTTAAAATTATAAGCATGTTAAGTGTTTTCTGAATAAATTAAAGGGAATTAAACTTATATCATTACATTTTTTACAATTTTTTCATTCTTTCAATATTTGCTTTATAGAAGGTTCAGTAAAAAATGTTTTAAATGAATTAAGTAATGAACCTAAAGGATATAATATTCTATTATGACATACATAAATAACAAATGTTTATAGTAAAAAGGAATCATTTTTCACTGACACACTTGCATTTAACGCGCCTTTACATTACGTTTGTATAATGCAAGTGATGTAACATTAATGTTTACAGTTTTACTATACTTACAGAGGCTGGTATATTCTGTTGGATGAAAGCTGGAGTTAACTGGAGACCCATGTACTCATCCAATGTTGGGTACAAGCTCCCAGAGCTACCAGCTGAAGCCATTTGAGGATATGCTGGTGGTGGGTACTGTTGTGGCGCCTGCCCTGGGTATGATATAGGTGCTTGGGCTGTCTCATGTTGCCTTTGGGCCTGAAGAAGTCATAATGAAAGTCTATAAATAGTCTAAATTACTGAATCAAGGAAAATGCTTACCATGAGTTTGATACCAAAACATGATATTCTAACTATTTCATGAACAACTGCAATTCCATCATATTATAATTGCATATTGCCCAAAGCATTCAATCTACATGTATAAACTTTTACTGTACACAAATTGAGATAAAATGCAATTATAATGCATGCATATAAAACATGTTTAAAGTTTAAAAATTGATTAATTAACATTTCAGTAGGAATTGATTCTTACTTATTTTTGTTTTTAAAAGAAATTGGAAACTTTGAATGATGTTCAATTATTTCAATAAATCAATGAAATACATCTATAATATATATATTAAAACAGCATTATAATGGTGCACCAACAAAAATATAAGTAAAAAAGTACAAATCATTTCCAATTAAGTATTAGAATATGTACCTGAGCCATCTGGTCAACCTTCATATCTTCTAATGATGGGTAAAGAGACATGTTTATTTCTTTTTTAAACTTTAGTAACCTGAAAAAAATAATCAACTTTTACAAACTGTTCTAAAATATTATTGAATGTTTTTTTTATTTTATTTAATCTGGAAAAGATGTCACCTTAAATGCAAAGGTAATGCTAGTTTTAATTTGATCTTCACAATTATCAATTGAAATATATGACACAAAACTCTTAATAACAATTACTGTATACAATCACAGTCATCGAATTTAGCACTGACCTGGTGGCCCATGGCCAGTGTAAATTAGTTTGGGCCAGAAAATTTAGTAAAATATATAGCAGAATAAATTCAAAAATTTCTGGAATTCTGGTCAGTAAATTCAAAATCTTATATTCAATGACTGCAATCAGCATTGTAAGGTTAACAAACTGGTTGGAGCACAGAATAAGATGCCATATACAATGTATGCATATAATTACTGAAAGATAAAAAACCAAAACCTTAAGGCACTAAAATATGCATTAATTAATTCTTTTTACTTGAACAAAAATTAACTGAATTGTTTAACAAATTTGGAACAATCCAGATCTAAGTGTGAATAGAGCTATCATCAGTATAGATCCTTGTCATACCTCATTGTTGTACAGATTGGTCTGGCAATATACTGGTGGCAATTGCTAAACACTTTTAGACATTTAATAGTTAACAGACAAACCCCCTAGACCTAATACCCTGCCACCTATATTCTGATACTGGCACAAGACTTGGATATTAAAAAAACATTTATTAATGTCATATAGTTACTAGCTATTTGAGGAGATTTGATTTTTGGAAAATGCCACAAAAGTATTCAATGAACATTGAACCCTGCCTTCACATTCACAGATTAAGTAGAACTATTTAACAGAGTTATTGATTAAAATGTAACGTTATTATAACACTGTATAAATCTTAAAGTTTAAACACAACCTACCTTGAATATTTCTTTAACACAATAGTTATTTCTGCTTCAAAAGATTTTATCAATTTGAATATACCTATGAAAATGTGATATTTATTATGTTTACTATCTTGCGAAATGACAAATAAATGTTATCAAGACACATTCATTAACAGTATGTGTGACGTCATTGGTCATGCGCTCATGACACGAAAATGAAAAAGGTGGCTAAATTTAGCAGTGGTAAACAAAGCATAACATTGTACGGTACATGAGCCTGACAGTTGCACACTTAACAATAAAATGAAACATGTATGAAGAACTACATACTTAACTGCATTACTTACCTAAAAACGACAAAGGGAAATTAAATATTTGTTTCTATTTTCACTTCCTGGAATTCAGACGTTTGCGATAGTCTCCCTTTTTTGTTTATTGGATTTAGCTCAATACAGGATTGGAGCAGTACCTCTAGACGCTTGCAGAAATCATGATCACAAAATAGACAAATATCGTTTTTTTCGCCGAATTTTACATTTTTCCTTGATTATCGTACTTGATTCGGTGTGAAAAGATGAATTAGACCTGTTAAAGTTCATTCCGTTGGGTAAAAAGACAAGATTTTAGCATTTTATCATTCAAGCGCCTTGTCCGGTATATACCGGAATACGGTATTTAGTGTGGTGCTCCAATCCTTTTTTTAGTCACAGCCTTGTTTATTTAGCTTGTTTTAATTCCCGTATTCGGTATATTCGGCACAAGTGATGTTTTGATTGGCAACGCTCGAGTGTTTGACGAAGCAAAGGGACTGCATAGGACTTTGGATTGCGCGGGTTATTTGTGGGGGAGTGAGATAAGTGTGATGTGACCCCAGAAAGTAGGGATTATATCCCGGGAATTGGCCACGTGCTAAAGGTGTCATCAATAAATTATCGAGTAATAATAATAATAATAATAATAAACACTTTATTTCATGAAGGTAACATATTAAGAAATACAATTCTTATTTACAATATGGCCTTCAATTAAACAAGATAATGAAAGTCACAAATATGTACACACATATTAAAAACAACATAAACAACAACCATTCAAATTTACAGACACATGCATGCATCAGATTCATTTAAATTGTATATCAATCAAATATTTTTTCATATTTCTTTTAAAAGCATATAGAGACGAAGACTCTTTAATATATAAAGGTAAATTATTCCATACTTGCATTGCATTATTTCTAAAAGTTCTTTTAACATATTTCGTATTAGATCTTACATGTATTATGTTTCTATTTGTAGTTGATCTAAGTGTATACGTTTGATTTTTCGAAAACACTATGATATCTGAAATGTAGGAAGGAGTTAATCCTTGTATAGATTTAAATACTAATAATGCTGTATGATACGTGCATCTATTTTCGAAAGTTAACCAGTTTAATTTAAGGAAAAGCTGTAAAGAAGGCGTTTTAACTGGTTTACACAATATTATCTTTGCTGCGCGTTTCTGCAGTTTATTCACTTTTTCAAATTCAGTTTTATTACAAGTACTCCATATAATACAACAATAATCAAAACAAGGTAAAATATAAGCATTGTAAAACATTTCTTTCATTTCAGCGGATAAAAAGTACGATATACGCTTTAATAGAGCAATTTGTTTTTGTAATTTATTACAGACGTGCTTTATTTGAACATTCCATTTTAAGTTTTCATCTAAGTAAATACCTAATAATTTCTGTGATTTCGTTTGACTTAGGCATGTACCTTCTATATTTATATCTAAAGAAGGTTTTGATTTTAATTTATTTTCTGACCCTATTATCATACAAGTGGTCTTTTTCGGATTTATTGCCATGTTGTTTAATTTACACCATTTGCTTATATTATCAACATCACATTGCAGAGTTCTCTGAATCACTTCAATTTTTTTATTTGATACATGCATAGTTGTATCGTCAGCATACATGTCTATGTTAGAGTGTGTTGTACTAAAAGGCATATCATTAACGTAGAAAATGAAAAGTAAAGGGCCTAATATAGACCCTTGAGGGACCCCTGATTTCACTGTTCCACTATTTGAATGACTATTTCCATATTTGATAAACTGTGTTCTATTTTCAAGATATGACTTGAAGAGTTTAATTGAGGTGTTTGAAAATTTGTACAATTTTAACTTATGTAACAATATGTTGTGATCTACCAAATCAAATGCCTTCTTAAGGTCTAAAAATACTGTGCCTATCAAACAGCCCTCATCTAAATCGTTAAGGAAGGATTCTATGAGTCGTATTAGAGCTGTTTGACAAGAATGGTTTTTTCTGAAACCCGACTGACTTTCATGAATAATATTAGTTTCGTATATATAACTGTGTAATTGTGATGCAATATGCTTTTCAAAAATTTTTGATATGGTTGGCAAAATTGAAATAGGTCTATAATTATTTGGACCTTCTTTTGGTCCATTTTTGTAAATTGGAAGTACATATGCTTCTTTAAGTTTATCAGGAAAAATGCCATTTCTAATGGAATTATTTATTATAGAAGCTATAGCTATGCTTAAATAGTCACCACAGGCTTTAAGAATACGCGGCCCAATTCCATCATTTCCTGTTGACTTGTTTACATTTAGTTTATCAATAAGTAGTTTTACTTGGAATGGGCTGATTTCATCAATTATAAAAGTATGCCCTTGAAGTTTTTTGTTCAGTTGTTCTTCAAGTGATTTGAAATTTTCTGTTTTGAATTTGGATTTGTTTAGGAAATCAGAAATATTGATAAAATGATCATTGACTGCATTTAAAATATTATTTTCCCCAGTTATTATATTACCATCTATTGTTATGGAATTAGGCAATCTGATATTCCCGTTAGTACCATTATCGTTAGTAATATCTTTAATATTTTTCCAAAGCGTACTCGGGTCTTTCTTATCCTTGACGGCATTATTGAAGTAATTTCTTTTGTGTTGTTTAATTAAATTATTTGTTTTATTCCGCCAAAGTTTATATGAATCGCACTGATTAGATTTTTTATAATTATCTCTTTTCAAGCGTGCATTTTTAATTTCTTCATCGTACCGATGTGGCTGTGTGTCCCTTTTTATACGTTTAATTTTAAATGGTGCATGCTTCACTAGAATATTATTTATCATGTTATAAAACAATTCTATAGCTTCATTTGGATCATTAAATGTCTCTATACAATCAAAATTAGAATCAATTAGATCACGTTGAAACGATTCTGTATCAAATTTAGCAAAACTTTCTATATTTTATAGTGTTGTGATTACATGCAATGTGTGCTAGTATTTCCTCTAGTGAAACATATTAAATAATGGTCACTGACACAAATTTGTGATACGAAGTTTTCATTAATTTTATCAAGATTATTTGTGTAAATGTGATCAATTATTGATGAACTGTTTTTTGTCACTCTTGTAGGTTTATTAATGATTTGCCTAAGGTCGTATTTCAATAAAAGAGATGCCCATTTATTGTTTAAAAACCCTTCTTCTGAACTATATTGTATATTAAAATCACCTAGAATGTGCATTTCTAAATTCATCTGATCAGCCATTTCAAGATGTTTTTCATACAGGTCAGCCCAAACCTGCTTTGAATCAGGGGGTCTATATACAAAGTTTAAGAGAAATGGTTTACATTTCACAAAATTAATTTCTATCCATATCGATTCAATTTCGGCTGTTTCTAAATCATATCTTCGTTTAAAAGGGACGCTGTCTTTTACATAAACAAGTATACCCCCTCCCTTTTTACCAACTCTGTCTTTTCTCTCAAAAACGTAGCTTGATATTTCAATGTCTTTATCAGATACATTCATAGTTAAAAACGTTTCACATAATCCAAATACATGCGCTTTAAATTCGTTTAGAATTATTCGAATTTCATCGAATTTTGGGAGTAAATGCTGTACATTTAAATTCATGACATGAAAACCCTTTTGTTTAAATTTGACTCTTTCGTTATCAATATACGAATTATCGCAATGGTCATTTTTACTTAACATTATATTAGAAATCCCATCAGAGGTTCTCGAGTTGTTATTAATGCTAGATAGTTTGTTGAAATGATTACAGCTGCTTAACGTACTATAAATAGTAGATCCTAAATTATTTAATCTTTTACATGTATATGCAAAAATATATCTTAGTTCAGAGGATGATTGTTCCGAATTACAATTGTTTACAAAGTTGTTATAATCATAAGTACTTTTTGAATTTACCGAAACGGAATCGGAATTGCTCTGTTCGATAACAAATTTGTTACATATATTACTATAATAAATATCATTATCAGTAGTATTTGGTGTTTTAACTGATAGGCAATCGCAAGTACATTGCTCTAAATTGCATTTGCTACAAAGATTTATAAATATGCTATCTGTATCAAATTGATTAATAAACACGTGCCTGTCTGCTTTTTCCTACCATTCACGGTATCTACAGTCAACAGTTTTATGATTGTTCCTACCACATATTTTACACAGAGATCCAAAGATTTTATGTTCTGTTCGGAATTGCCAATATCCATTTTTCTGTTGTTCTTGACGTTTTGTGTTCTGTGTATCTGTATGATATCTACCAGTCATTGCTGGTTTCGTCTTTACAATAGTCAGCGATTTGTTAATACACCTTACCAACGCACTAGACCCTCTTGTATTATGATGAATTCCATCACGATGATACATATGTTTCACTACATTTCCATCTCCATACACAAATGAACTATATGAATCTATCAGTGTTGCACCTGTTTCATAACAAATTTTTCTAATGGCAATGTTCATCGGAGTTACATCGACGTCTATTCTCGGGCATATTGTACATAAATATACGTTAATGCCATGATGATATAAGTAGTTGATGGTCTTTGTTAACTCTATGCTACTTACAGTTGTTGGTGTGCTTGAAGCAACGTCATTTCCGCCTACATAAATGATTACATTTTTGCAACCAGATATATTCCAGTTACACAACTTATGTGATATATCTCTCACAACAGCTCCTCTTATGCAGTATGTCTCTGTAAAAGTGTGAAGCCCGCGTTGATTTATTCCCTTATAATTGAATCGCCTATTATAAAGCGTTTCCGGGATTGATCTTGAAACTGGTTTTTCTGGTGCTGTACTGTCTGATATATCTATAAAAGATCCACGTTGTCGTTTTATCAT